ACCACCCACCTTCACCTCCCCTCCACCCACCTTCACCTCCACACCACCCACCTTCACCTCCCCTCCACCCACCTTCACCTCCCCTCCACCCACCTTCACCTCCCCTCCACCCACCTTCACCTCCCCTCCACCCACCTTCACCTCTCCACCACCCACCTTCACCTCTCCACCACCCACCTTCACCTCTCCACCACCCACCTTCACCTCTCCACCACCCACCTTCACCTCTCCACCACCCACCTTCACCTCTCCACCACCCACCTTCACCTCTCCACCACCCACCTTCACCTCCCCTCCACTCACCTTCACCTCCCCTCCACCCACCTTCACCTCCCTCCACTCACCTTCACCTCTCCACCACCCACCTTCACCTCTCCACCACCCACCTTCACCTCTCCACCACCCACCTTCACCTCTCCACCACCCACCTTCACCTCCCCTCCACTCACCTTCACCTCCCCCTCCACTCACCTTCACCTCCCCTCCACCCACCTTCACCTCTCCACCACCCACCTTCACCTCTCCACCACCCACCTTCACCTCTCCACCACCCACCTTCACCTCTCCACCACCCACCTTCACCTCTCCACCACCCACCTTCACCTCTCCTCCACTGACCTTCACCTCTCCACCACCCACCTTCACCTCTCCACCACCCACCTTCACCTCCCCTCCACTCACCTTCACCTCCCCTCCACTCACCTTCACCTCCCCTCCACCCACCTTCACCTCTCCACCACCCACCTTCACCTCTCCACCACCCACCTTCACCTCTCCACCACCCACCTTCACCTCTCCACCACCCACCTTCACCTCTCCTCCACTGACCTTCACCTCTCCACCACCCCACCTTCACCTCTCCACCACCCACCTTCACCTCCCCTCCACCCACCTTCACCTCCCCTCCACCCACCTTCACCTCCCCTCCACTGACCTTCACCTCCCCACCCCTCTTGTTACCTCACTAGAATCTTCCACCCTTCATAACAAACGTCATTTGATCAAGATGACCCCGTAAGATGACCTCCGTAATGAGGTCAACAAATTGACCTGTTGAAAAAATGAGGTGATCCATTGTTGAGCAGTTGGCGATGTCAAATGTCAGATGTATTGATAAGTCTGTTAGCTAGTGTAGCTCTATGGCATCTTTAGCTTGCAGTCATCAGCTCAAGTAATCAGTCAGCTCTAAATGATCACAACCTGACTTAAGCATCTGACTTAAATCATCTCTTTTGTTCATGTTCACGTCTCCTATCACGTGACTAAGAGGTTTTACAAAACAGCCAAAATGACTAAAAACACAAATGACTAAATTACAATGGCTAAATGCGAGCAGGCTTAACTTAATGACCAAAGCTGATAAACAGCGGGTTTTGGTAACCAATCTCCAAATTTAGATTGGAAAGCACAAAGTTGTGAATTGCTTTAATGAACTTGTCAGCTACATCTACTGTCATAAATTAAAGCAGGTTAGGTAAACACGTCGTCTACTTTACTTTTTTAAATGCTGACGTGTTAGTAGATGTGTGACGTGACATTAGATGTGTTTACGTGGCATGTGTTGACGTGACATGTGTTGATGTAGCGTGTGTTGACGTGTTAGATGTGTGACGTGACATTCGATGTGTGACGTGACATTAGATGTGTGACGTGACATTAGATGTGTGACGTGACATTAGATGTGTGACGTGACATTCGATGTCTGACGTGACATTATATGTCTGACGTGACATTAGATGTCTGACGTGACATTAGATGTGTTGATGTGACATTAGATGTGTGACGTGACATTCGATGTCTGACGTGACATTAGATGTGTTGATGTGGCATTATATGTGTTGACACGCTATAGGATAGATATATATATATAAAGTAATAACACTAGATGAACAGTTGTGTGAAAGATGGGCATACGTTTAAACTGAAAGGCCTGCCCAAGTTTTGGTGCTATGGGTTGATGTTTCGATGCTAAGCTGTAAGAATACATGTACCTCCAATATTTATTTAAACAAAAGAATGTCATTACACTGGGATATTAAAAAAAAAGATTTCTTTAGACCTAGCGATAAATTGTGCAGATGAAGTTCATGTTTCGCCTATGAATGGATAACGTGTTCTACACCAGGCCTAGCAGTCTTTACTTTCCCCAAAGTGAGTTAGGTAACCATCAGGGCTGGATGGGCTCAGCGACGTTACACTGACGGGGTTCGAACCGGAGACTTTCGGCCATGCCGTCCCACACTGTGATATTAGCTTTTTTTTTTTTTATGTAGCCTCTTCAAGCGGCGTAACAATGAAAAACAAAATAAGTTATCTCTTTATTGGGGTTGTCTACCCTTACTGAAAAAACAACAAAAAATTTTTTGTAGATTGAATTGGACAACATCCAGAACACAATCTTAAAATAACTGAAACAAATTTTGACCTGATTCTTTATAATTGTTTTGTTTGTTTTTATGCTGCGTGACGTTGTTTATCTCCCTTCCCTAAATAACACATCGCACACACTACCACACACAAACACACACGCACACACACACACACACACATATATATATATATATATATATATATATATATATATATATATATATATATATATATATATATATATATATATATATATATATATATATATATATATATACATACACATACATACACGTTTGCATCTATACGCTACCTGAAAATGTTGTAAAGGGACAAAACACACGAATGTAATTTTGTTTTGAAAGAGACGTGTATCATTTTTAAAAAGACAAATGTCATTTCAAAAAAAAATTTGCCCTAATGAATGAGGTATATGTCATCATGTATGGGATCTTTATGAGGTATATGTCATGTATGAGATCTTTGCCATCCTGAAAAATGTATGTCATCGGGTAGAGAAAAATTAAAAGCTTTTTCTTAGATCCAATTTTTTTATTATACACAATCAGCGTTTAGAAAATAGACTACCGCTTGTCTTACTAGACAGCTTTAACTGTTTCCTACATCAGTCGTGACATGTCAGATGTGACATGTCAGTCGTGACATGTCAGATGTGACATGTCAGTTGTGAAATGTCAGATGTGACATGTCAGTTGTGACATGTCCGTTGTGACATCTCAGATGTGACATGTCAGTTGTGACATGTCAGTTGTGACATGTCAGTTGTGACATGTCAGTTATGACATAAGGAGATGTCGACCATGTTGCCCTCCATGAGACAGGTACACTCTTTGTATGATGTGCCGTCAATCGAGGCAGGAAACTTGTCGCCGTGTGTGTGGCAAGTTTTGTTGCCGTCCATACAGCCTGTGGGAGGGGAGAAAAGGGGAGAACTGAGGTAAGGGGCGGGGAGAAGTGGGGTAGAAGTGGGGAGAGAAGTGAGGTAAGAGGGGAGGGGAGAATTGGAGAGAACTGAGGTAAGGGGAAAAGTGGGGGAGAAGTGAGGGGAGAAGTGGGGAGAGAAGTGAGGTAAGGGGAAAAGTGGGGGAGAAGTGAGGGGTAAAGTGGGGAGAGAAGTGAGGTAAGGGGAAAAGTGGGGGAGAAGTGAGGGGAGAAGTGGGGAGAGAAGTGAGGTAAGGGGAAAAGTGGGGGAGAAGTGAGGGGAGAAGTGGGGGAGAGAAGTGAGGTAAGGGGAAAAGTGGGGGAGAAGTGAGGGGAGAAGTGGGGAGAGAAGTGAGGTAAGGGGAAAAGTGGGGGAGAAGTGAGGGGAAAAGTGGGGAGAGAAGTGGGGAGAGAAGTGAGGTAAGGGGAAAAGTGGGGGAGAAGTGAGGGGAGAAGTGGGGAGAGAAGTGAGGTAAGGGGAAAAGTGGGGGAGAAGTGAGGGGAGAAGTGGGGAGAGAAGTGAGGTAAGGGGAAAAGTGGGGGAGAAGTGGGGAGAGAAGTGGGGAGAGAAGTGAGGTAAGGGGAAAAGTGGGGGAGAAGTGAGGGGAGAAGTGGGGAGAGAAGTGGGGAGAGAAGTGAGGTAAGGGGAAAAGTGGGGGAGAAGTGAGGGGAGAAGTGGGGAGAGAAGTGGGGAGAGAAGTGAGGTAAGGGGAAAAGTGGGGGAGAAGTGAGGGGAGAAGTGGGGAGAGAAGTGGGGAGAGAAGTGAGGTAAGGGGAAAAGTGGGGGAGAAGTGAGGGGAGAAGTGGGGAGAGAAGTGGGGAGTGAAGTGAGGTAAGGGGAAAAGTGGGGGAGAAGTGAGGGGAGAAGTGGGGAGAGAAGTGGGGAGAGAAGTGAGGTAAGGGGAAAAGTGGGGGGGGAGAAGTGAGGGGAGAAGTGGGGAGAGAAGTGAGGTAAGGGGAAAAGTGGGGGAGAAGTGAGGGGAGAAGTGGGGAGAGAAGTGAGGTAAGGGGAAAAGTGGGGGAGAAGTGAGGGGAGAAGTGGGGAGAGAAGTGAGGTAAGGGGAAAAGTGGGGGAGAAGTGAGGGGAGAAGTGGTGAGAGAGAAGTGAGGGGAGAAGTGGGGAGAGAAGTGGGGAGAGAAGTGAGGGGAAAAGTGGGGGAGAAGTGAGGGGAGAAGTGGGGAGAGAAGTGAGGTAAGGGGAAAAGTGGGGGAGAAGTGAGGGGAGAAGTGGGGAGAGAAGTGAGGTAAGGGAAGGGGCAACCTGGGGGAGAAGTAAGGAGAGAATTGAAGAGAGAAATGAGGGGAGATGTGTGGTCCTGCTATAGTGTTGTACTTATTGTCTTATTGGGGTCTTACTATCCCTTACTACATGTTTTAGTTTCAGTTTCTCACAGCATCTTTACAGAATGAGAACTGCACCCACCCCCTCCCCACCCCAGATTAACTTGATGGCCTAGGGTCAGTTCACCATTCTACCTGCCTACCCTCTCTACCCACCCTACCCTTTCATTTTCCGGGCAGAGAAGGGTTCAAAGGTCATTAGAGATGAGGAACTCACGGGCAGAGAGTGAGTCAAAGACGTAGACGGTTAAGAAACCCTCAGTGAACTTGTCGCATCTGAAGGTCATACAGTCGACCTGGTGCTGCGTGTAGACCTCGTAGCACTTGTCTTGGTACAGACAGCCTGCAACGTCATGCCAGAGAAATGGTGGGGCTGTGTTGATACCATCCTACACAAGAGGTAGCTTACCATCCTACACAAGAGGTAGCTTACCATCCTACACAAGAGGTAACTTACCATCCTACACAAGAGGTAGCTTACCATCCTACACAAGAGGTAGCTTACCATCCTACACAAGAGGTAGCTTACCATCCTACACAAGAGGTAGCTTACCATCCTACACAAGAGGTAGCTTACCATCCTACACAAGAGGTAGCTTACCATCCTACACAAGAGGTAGCTTACCATCCTACACAAGAGGTAGATTACTTTCCTACAAAAGATAACTCACCATCCTACACAAGAGGTAGCTTACCATCCTACACAAGAGGTAGCTTACCATCCTACACAAGAGGTAACTTACCATCCTACACAAGAGGTAGCTTACCATCCTACACAAGAGGTAGCTTACCATCCTACACAAGAGGTAGCTTACCATCCTACACAAGAGGTAGCTTACCATCCTACACAAGAGGTAGCTTACCATCCTACACAAGAGGTAGCTTACCATCCTACACAAGAGGTAGCTTACCATCCTACACAAGAGGTAGCTTACCATCCTACACAAGAGGTAGCTTACCATCCTACACAAGAGGTAGCTTACCATCCTACACAAGAGGTAGCTTACCATCCTACACAAGAGGTAGCTTACCATCCTACAAAAGGTAACTCACCATCCTACAAAAGGTAACTCACCATCCTACAAAAGGTAAATTACCATCCTACATATTAGGTAACTTACCATCCTACTAAACGTAAATTACCATCCTACACAAGAGGTAACTTACCATCCTACACAAGAGGTAACTTACAATCCTACAAAAAGTAATTTACAATTCTACACAAGAGGTAACTTACCATCCTAAACAAGAGGTAACTTACCATCCCAAACAAATGGTAACTTACCAGCCTACAAAAGGTAACTCACCATCCTATAAAAGGTAAATTACCATCCTACACATGAGGTAACTTACTATTCTACAAAAGGTAACTTACCATCTTACACAAGAGGTAACTTACCATCCTACACAAGAGGTAACTTACCATTCTACAAGAGGTAACTTACCATCCTCTATTATAACCATCTCTCCCTCGCTACAGTTGTACCTCGTGCACTTGTTCCCCGGGTCGACCTTCGTCTGTCCTTCGTTGAGTCTCTCCCCACTCACTGTACACTCGGCTGTAGGGAAAACACAACAAGTTGACACAACAAGTTGACACAACAAGTTGACACAACAAGTTGACACAACAAGTTGACACAACAAGTTGACACAACAAGTTGACACAACAAGTTGACACAACAAGTTGACACAACAAGTTGACACAACAAGTTGACACAACAAGTTGACACAACAAGTTGACACAACAAGTTGACACAACATGTTGACACAACAAGTTGACACAACAAGTTGACACAACAAGTTGACACAACAAGTTGACACAACAAGTTAACACAACAAGTTGACACAACAAGTTAACACAACAAGTTGACACAACAAGTTGACACAACAAGTTGACACAACAAGTTGACACAACAAGTTAACACAACAAGTTGACACAACAAGTTGACACAACAAGTTAACACAACAAGTTGACACAATTCGTACACTCGGCTGTAGGGGCAACAAGTTGACACAACAAGTTGACACAACAAGTTGACACAACAAGTTGACACAGCAAGTTGACACAACAAGTTGACACAACAAGTTGACACAACAAGTTGACACAACAAGTCAAACATGCTACCACAATTCTTGACACACTTACCCACAGCTGTGGACAGGAGAGTGTTGAGACACACTTACCCACAGTTGAGACACACTTACCCACAGTTGAGACACACTTACCTACAGTTGAGACACACTAATAGTTGAGACACACTTACCTACAATTGAGACACACTTACCCACAATTGAGACACACTCACCCACAATTGAGACACACTTACCCACAATTGAGACACACTTACCCACAATTGAGACACACTTACCCACAGTTGAGACACTTTCCCATAGATGAGACACACTTAACCACAGTTGAGACACACTTACCTACAGTTGAGACACACTAACCCACAGCTGAGACACACTTACCTACAGTTGAGACACACTAACCCACAGCTGAGACACACTTACCTACAGTTGAGACACACTAATAGTTGAGACACACTTACCTACAATTGAGACACACTTACCTACAGTTGAGACACACCCACAATTGAGACACACCCACAATTGAGACACACTTACCTACAGTTGAGACACACCCACAATTGAGACACACCCACAATTGAGACACACCCACAATTGAGACACACCCACAATTGAGACACACCCACAATTGAGACACACTTACCTACGGCTGTAGACAGGAGGGTGGCGACGATGACTGCCACACAAACATTGCTGGCCTGTAGATAGAGTCCACCACTTGTACATTGATTAATTTGCCGGTACCATGGTTGGTACTTGGTGTATTTATCTAAAGTTATGGTCATGATGATTTTTACTACCTGTTCATGTTATTTTATTGAATGGCTGCTGTGGTGGTGGGTGTGGTTGTAATGGCTGCTGTGGTTGGTGGGTGTGGTTGTAATGGCTGCTGTGGTTGGTGGGTGTGGTTGTAATGGCTGCTGTGGTTGGTGGGTGTGGTTGTAATGGCTGCTGTGGTTGGTGGGTGTGGTTGGTGGGTGTGGTTGGTGGGTGTGGTTGGTGGTGTGGTTGGTGGATGTGGTTGTAATGGCTGCTGTGGTTGGTGGGTGTGGTTGGTGGGTGTGGTTGTAATGGCTGCTGTGGTTGGTGGGTGTGGTTGGTGGGTGTGGTTGGTGGATGTGGTTGTAATGGCTGCTGTGGTTGGTGGGTGTGGTTGGTGGATGTGGTTGTGATTTCTGCTGTGGTTGGTGGGTGTGGTTGGTGGGTGTGGTTGGTGGGTGTGGTTGGTGGGTGTGGTTGGTGGGTGTGGTTGGTGGGTGTGGTTGGTGGTGTGGTTGGTGGTGTGGTTGGTGGTGTGGTTGGTGGTGTGGTTGGTGGGTGTGGTTGGTGGTGTGGTTGTAATGGCTGCTGTGGTTGGTGGGTGTGGTTGTAATGGCTGCAGTGGTTGGTGGGTGTGGTTGGTGGTGTGGTTGTAATGGCTGCAGTGGTTGGTGGGTGTGGTTGTAATGGCTGCAGTGGTTGGTGGGTGTGGTTGGTGGATGTGGTTGGTGGTGTGGTTGGTGGTGTGGTTGGTGGTGTGGTTGGTGGGTGTGGTTGGTGGTGTGGTTGTAATGGCTGCTGTGGTTGGTGGGTGTGGTTGTAATGGCTGCTGTGGTTGGTGGATGTGGTTGTAATGGCTGCTGTGGTTGGTGGATGTGGTTGTAATGGCTGCTGTGGTTGGTGGTGTGGTTGTAATGGCTGCTGTGGTTGGTGGATGTGGTTGTAATGGCTGCTGTGGTTGGTGGATGTGGTTGTAATGGCTGCTGTGGTTGGTGGGTGTGGTTGGTGGATGTGGTTGTAATGGCTGCTGTGGTTGGTGGATGTGGTTGTAATGGCTGCTGTGGTTGGTGGTGTGGTTGTAATGGCTGCAGTGGTTGGTGGGTGTGGTTGGTGGATGTGGTTGGTGGTGTGGTTGGTGGTGTGGTTGGTGGTGTGGTTGGTGGTGTGGTTGGTGGGTGTGGTTGGTGGATGTGGTTGTAATGGCTGCTGTGGTTGGTGGGTGTGGTTGGTGGGTGTGGTTGGTGGATGTGGTTGTAATGGCTGCTGTGGTTGGTGGGTGTGGTTGGTGGATGTGGTTGTGATTTCTGCTGTGGTTGGTGGGTGTGGTTGGTGGGTGTGGTTGGTGGGTGTGGTTGGTGGGTGTGGTTGGTGGGTGTGGTTGGTGGGTGTGGTTGGTGGATGTGGTTGTAATGGCTGCTGTGGTTGGTGGGTGTGGTTGGTGGATGTGGTTGTGATTTCTGCTGTGGTTGGTGGGTGTGGTTGGTGGGTGTGGTTGGTGGGTGTGGTTGGTGGGTGTGGTTGGTGGGTGTGGTTGGTGGGTGTGGTTGTAACAACTTATGTTATTAGATGTAGTTGCATTGGCAGTTGTGGTTGGCCGAAATGATTGGCTAAAGTGGTTGGCATCGCTTCTGTGGTTGTAAAGGCTACTGTGGTTGGTGGTTGTGGTTGTAATACTTCTAAATGTCATGGCACACATACACCAGCATGATATTTACATGTCATTTTATTTTCCTTATAAAACAAAAAAAATTACATTTCACTATCAAGAGAACAAAAAGCAATTCTGACCATTATTTGATTCCTTCAGCTGTAAGCAAGAAAACTTTGGAGAGATGAATCAAACTTCATGTGACACAGTTTAATGTCACTCGATGTCGAGGCTTGTATTGACATTACAACAGCTGGTTTCGATACTTTTATTGTTGCAGAATTAGGAAAAACAAGAGGTGTTTCCATTGGGATATTGCTGATATATATATATATATATATATATATATATATATATATATATATATATATATATATATATATATATATATATATATATATATATACATATATAAATTTTACTCCCCCTCTAAATCTAACCTCAGTGTAAGTACGCCACTGTTACACAATTATAACTTAACACTAGTCACGTGACCGGACTATGCAACTCTAAGCTCTAAGGCCAGCCCCACACAGACTGTTGAATGTACACGTGGAGAGGAAACAAAGGACAGGTCTGATCAGAAGCCCGCACTGGATGACAACAAATCCTGAGGGTAGAGGGAATGTTGAACAACAGATTGTGATGGGGTTTAACTGATATCTCACACTCAATGCTTTACGTACTACATGGCTAAACATCGTCCCATTCGTGATGTGATAGCTACATGAATTCTTTTGTCACTGAGATAAACAGATTTAAATGTTAGCTACGATTTATTCTGACGTCACAATAGGTCTTTGTTAGTTCCCGCATGCTATATCTACAGGTCAAATATTTAGGTTAGGTTAGGTTAGGTTAGGTTAGGTTAAGTTAGGTTAGGTTAGGTTAGGTTAGGTTAGGTTAAGTTAGGCTAGGTTAGGTTAGGTTAGGTTAGGTTAGGTTAGGTTAGGTTAGGTTAGGTTAGGTTAGGTTAGGTTAGGTTAGGTTAGGCTAGGCTAGGTTAGGTTAGGCTAGGTTAGGTTAGGTTAGGTTAGGTTAGGTTAGGTTAGGTTAGGTTAAGTTAGGTTAGGTTAGGTTAGGTTAGGTTAAGTTAGGTTAGGTTAGGTTAGGTTAGGTTAGGCTAGGTTAGGCTAGGTTAGGTTAGGTTAGGTTAGGTTAGGTTAGGTTAGGTTAGGTTAGGTTAGGTTAGGTTTGTGTTAGGTTAGGTTAGGTTAGGTTAGGTTAGGCTAGGTTAGGCTAGGTTAGGTTAGGTTAGGTTAGGTTTGCTTAGGTTATGTTAGGTTAGGTTAGGTTAGGTTTGCTTAGGTTAGGTTAGGTTAGGTTAGGTTAGATTAGGTTAGGTTAGGTTAGGTTAGGTTAGGTTAGGTTAGGTTAGGTTAGGTTAGGTTATGCTAGGCTAGGCTAGGCTAGGTTAGGCTAGGCTAGGTTAGGTTAGGTTAGGTTAGGTTAGGTTAGGTTAGGTTAGGTTAGGTTAGGTTAGGTTAAGTTAGGCTAGGTTAGGTTAGGTTAGGTTAGGTTAGGTTAGGTTAGGTTAGGTTAGGTTAGGTTAGGTTAGGTTAGGTTAGGTTAGGTTAGGCTAGGTAAGGCTAGGATAGGTTAGGTTAGGTTAGGTTAGGTTAGGTTAGTTAAGTTAAGTTAAGTTAAGTTAAGTTAAGTTAAGTTAAGCTAGGCTAGGCAAGGCAAAGCAAGGCAAGGCAAGGCAAGGCAAGGCAAGGCAAGGCAAGGCAAAACAAAACAAAACAAAACAAAACAAAACAAAACAAAACAAAACAAAACAAAACAAAACAAAACAAAACGAAACGAAACGAAACGAAACGAAACGAAACAAAACAAAGCAAAACAAAACAAAACAAAACAAAACAAAACAAAACAAAACAAAACAAAACAAAACAGAACAAAACAAATGTTGGTGAATGAAGCTGACTTTTATTTCAAGTTGTCACGATCGTGACTTGAATTGGTCGAGACCACCACATCACGTGACAGGTCAGTTTGAGCAGCTTGTGCTGGCCAGTTGACCTTTGACCGTACACTTGCACTTGCTGTACAGCTTGCCATTGATGGTCGAGGGAAAAACTTCTCCGTCCCTGCGGCATTTGTTGGAGCTGTCGATACAGCCTGCAACATTGGGGGGGGGGGGGGGATGGGCCATAACTCTTGTTTTTGTATGGTCCATAACTCTTAATATATCAAGTTACAATTGGCCATAACTCTTGTTTTTGTAAAGTTTGGTCTATAACTCTTAATATATCAAGTTACAATTGGCCATAACTCTTGTTTTTGTATGGTCCATAACTCTTAATATATCAAGTTACAATTGGCCATAACTCTTGTTTTTGTATGGTCCATAACTCTTAATATATCAAGTTACAATTGGCCATAACTCTTGCAATCTCAAATTTACAAGTATTGGCCATAACTCTTGTTATGTCAAGTTAACAGGCTCTAAATCCTCCCTCTAAACTCCCACACCACCTACCGCATCCCCACCCAACTACCACACCCTCCCCCATCCCTCCACCCAACTACCACACCCCTCCCCCATCCCTCCACCCAACTACCACACCCCTCCCCCATCCCTCCACCCAACTACCACACCCCTCCCCCCATCCCTCCACCCAACTACCACACCCCTCCTCCCATCCCCACCCAACTACCACACCCCTCCACCCCCACCCCCACACTACTACCACCCAACGTTCCCCCCACCCCCTCTCACACTACAACCCTCCAACGCTCCCCATCCAGGAACTCACGGATAGAATCCACATCGACTGAGTAGTAGGTGAGGTCCCCTTTCTTGGACTTGGTGCAGCTGTAGGTCGTACAGTCGACATCAAACTTTGACCCCACTTTGTAGCAGCGACCTTTGAACTCACAGCCTGGTAGAGATGGGGGAGAAAATAGTTCCAGTCAGAGACAAACTTTTGGGTTAAAATCCTGTCAACATATATTTCCAACTAGATATCCTGATCTAATTAAGACATCGGCAGTGAGCTCCCCTACACGTTCTCTAGATTTGTTTACAACGGTAAGGATTGAGGTGGTACGTCCAGTGTAATCGAGTTAAAGAAATGGAAGGTAAGTTTGTTACAAAACCACACCTTTTAAAAAATAAAACACTTTTTTTAGAAAATGCCGTTTTACATGATATAAAATTATCAAATTCTGAAAGTTTTTTTAAAGAAATCCGTTGTGTAGTAAAGTACTATTTCTGGTTACGGGGAAACCCTGAAACATTGACAGGAACATTGTATAAGATCTAGATGTGTATCTCTAATCTTTGGGTCTTACAGATGTGTATCTCTAATCTTTGGGTCTTACAGATGTGTATCTCTAATCTTTGGGTCTTACAGATGTGTATCTCTAATCTTTGGGTCGGGTCTTACAGATGTGTATCTCTAATCTTTGGGTCGGGTCTTACAGATGTGTATCTCTGATCTTTGGGTCGGGTCTTACAGATGTGTATCTCTGATCTTTGGGTCTTACAGATGTGTATCTCTAATCTTTGGGTCGGGTCTTACAGATGTGTATCTCTAATCTTTGGGTCGGGTCTTACAGATGTGTATCTGTAATCTTTGGGTCGGGTCTTACAGATGTGTATCTCTAATCTTTGGGTCGGGTCTTACAGATGTGTATCTCTAATCTTTGGGTCGGGTCTTACAGATGTGTATCTCTAATCTTCGGGTCTTACAGATGTGTATCTCTGATCTTTGGGTCGGGTCTTACAGATGTGTATCTATAATCTTTGGGTCGGGTCTTACAGATGTGTATCTCTAATCTTTGGGTCGGGTCTTACAGATGTGTATCTCTGATCTTTGGGTCTTACAGATGTGTATCTCTAATCTTTGGGTCGGGTCTTACAGATGTGTATCTCTAATCTTTGGGTCGGGTCTTACAGATGTGTATCTGTAATCTTTGGGTCGGGTCTTACAGATGTGTATCTCTAATCTTTGGGTCGGGTCTTACAGATGTGTATCTCTAATCTTTGGGTCGGGTCTTACAGATGTGTATCTCTAATCTTCGGGTCTTACAGATGTGTATCTCTGATCTTTGGGTCGGGTCTTACAGATGTGTATCTATAATCTTTGGGTCGGGTCTTACAGATGTGTATCTCTAATCTTTGGGTCGGGTCTTACAGATGTGTATCTCTGATCTTTGGGTCTTACAGATATGTATCTCTAATCTTTGGGTCTTACAGATGTGTATCTATGATCTTTGGGTCGGGTCTTACAGATGTGTATCTATGATCTTTGGGTCGGGTCTTACAGATATGTATATCTGGTCTTTGGGTCGGGTCTTACCTTCCTCTTTAGTGACCAGAGCTCCGTCTTTACATTTGTATTTGATGCACTTCCCAGCAGGCAAGTTGACTAGGTCGCCATCTTTGTACGTCTTCCCGCTGACGATACACTGGGCTGTAGAACACGTCATCACATTAGATGTGTGTGTGTGGGGGGGGGGGGGGGAAACATGAGCACGTCATCACATTAGATGTGTGTGTGTGGGGGGGGGGGGGCAAGATGAACACGTCATCACATCAGATGTGTGTGGGGGGCAAGATGAACACGTCATCACATTAGATGTGTGTGTGTGGGGGGGGGACATAAATACGTCATTACATTAGATGTGTGTGTGTGTGGGGGACATAAATACGTCATCACATCAGATGTGTGTGTGGGGGGGACATAAATACGTCATCACATTAGATGTGTGTGTGGGGGGGACATAAATACGTCATCACATCAGATGTGTGTGTGGGGGGGGACATAAATACGTCATCACATCAGATGTGTGTGTGGGGGGGACATAAATACGTCATCACATTAGATGTGTGTGTGGGGGGGACATAAATACGTCATCACATCAGATGAGTGTGTGTGTGGGGGGGGGACATAAATACGTCATCACATTAGATGTGTGTGTGGGGGGGACATAAATACGTCATCACATTAGATGTGTGTGTGTGGGGGGGGGGGGGGACATAAATACGTCATCACATTAGATGTGTGTGTGTGGGGGACATAAATACGTCATCACATTAGATGAGTGTGTGTGTGTGTGGGGGGGCATAAATACGTCATCACATCAGATGTGTGGGGGGGGGGACATGAGCACGTCATCACATCAGATGTGTGTGTGAGGGGGGGGGGCAACATAATTAAGTCATCAGGTCAGATGGGGGGGGGGGGGCAACATAATTAAGTCATCAGGTCAGATGGGGGGGGCAACATAATTAAGTCATCAGGTCAGATGGGGGGGGGGGGGGGGCAACATAAACACATCATAAGATCAGATGTGTGGGCAACAGGACCACGTGTCTGAAGACACTCACCTCCACGTTTGGTCACTGCCTCTGCTGTAGCCAGTAGAGTGACCGCGACCAGCACATAGACACTGTAAGCCTGTGGGTGAAGTAGAGCGTACGTAAATATTAACCCGACAGTAACATATTATATGGTACCTAAATAAATATCTGATAATGAGCATATTGACACTAACAATAAGTTTAAATTTAAAGGGTAATCGAAATACAAAGACCGTCTTCACAGAAATGCCCTGAGTTCGAACCCTCTAACAAATGTGACTTGATAGCTTGGGACAGCAACCCATCTAGGATAGACAACTCCAAAATCAAACAATTGTCTTGAAATTTGCTCTTAAATGTAGTAAAAACGTTGACTCGTCATACTTAATACCGTCCAACGTTTAAAATAAAGAAGGAAGAAGAAAAGTAGTAGAAATACTAGCAATAATACCCGTCTGTATTCTGAGCCTTCACGGCCAGCAGATTTAACAAGACAATCCACACACATGAGAAAAGACAATCCAAGTTTAGTAGCTTTAAAAACACTGCAGCATGACTTTTACATGTCATTGCGTCTGTCTTCAGTAACGTCCACAAAAACTCCAGCATGACATTTACATGTCATTGCACCTGTCTTCGGTAACGTCCAATGCTGTAGGTGTCCTTTTGACAAACTTAAACATGGAACTTTCAACAAGTGTACGCCACACTGGTACCCAGATCTACTTTGTGAACATCTTCGGCAACATCTTCGTCAACAGCTTCGTCAATATCTTCGTCAACATCTTCGTTAAGATCTTCGTCAACATCTTGGTCAACATCTTCGTCAACATCTTCGTCAACATATTCGTTAAGATCTTGGTCAACATCTGGGTCAACATCTTGGTCAACATCTTGGTCAACATCTTCTATAGCTTGAACTCTTAACGCGAGTAAAAAAAACAATCATGTAAACATTTGTGTTACAGAAAGAATAAACATTGCTCTGACCATTTGATCTTGTAGTCCGGTAGTAAATGGAAGTAACTATATCTCGAGTTCTTTGATTAAAAGGTTGCCACAGAACTCAGGCTGAGCACCTACTCACGTTTTATAGGGAAAATTTAATGGCATTCAAGAAAATCTTCACCAAAACAACATCTGTTTACCCAATTAGCACCGCCAGCCTGAGTTTGTGATTATTTAAATTAATAGTTTGTAAATAATTGGACTTTTTTTACACTGTGTTTTTTTTTTAGATATTAAACTTGTCAAATCTGTTCACCAAACATTCAACGTTCAGCTAATTTTATAAGTAACAACGTGGGTAGTTATTAGATCTGCTCCAGTAGACAAATTATGTTTCGTGCACTAGTACATTTGTTTAGTTGTATAGGCAAAACCGTATGTAGCGTGTAGTGTAGGAAACACAGTATGTAGCGTGTAGTGTAGGCAAAACAGTATGTGGCGTGTAGTGTAGGCAACAGTATATAGCGTGTAGTCTAGGCAACACAGTATGTAGCGTGTAGTGTAGGCAACACAATATGTAGCGTGTAGTATAGGCAATACAGTATGTAGCGTGTAGTGTAGGAAACACTTTATTTATTATTTATTATTTTTGTGTGTTTTCTTTTCCTGTGTTTTTTTTTCTCTGTGACTTTTATTCCTACAATTTATCAAAATCTGCACCTGGAGAAAATCTCGGACTAGTCTACATCGACACCCTTCACGACTAAAACAAAACGTATTTTTTCTACTTCCTCTAAATATGTTGTTCGTTAACCTGAAGCATTTATATGACGTCAGTCATACGTCAGCAGTGTCTAGTCTCTAGGTGATAAAACATTGACGTCAGTATCAACGTCACTACCAAATCTTGGGAACAAAATACCACAACAGAAACATGTTTTTACAGCAACGCGAGAATGTGTTGCGCGTGGTTGAGAATGTGGTTGAGAATCTAATTAAAATAATTAAGGTAATCAGCGTGTGTTGACAAGCTAGTGATGATGTTCTAGCTAGAGGTGAGAGATTTGCTGGGTCAGGGGATAAAACAATGCTAATTCATTAGTTAATTAGATGAGTCGCGATATAAAACAATGCTAATTAATTAGTTAATCAGGTGAGGGGAGAGATAAAACAATGCTAATTAATTAGATGCGCGGAGAGATAAAACGATGCCAATTAATTAGTTAATTAGATGAGTGGCGATATAAAACAATGCTAATTAATTAATCAGATGAGGGGCGTAATAAAACGATGCTAATTAGTTAATTAATTAGACTCAGATATCTAACTCTCACTTTAGACTCAGATATCTAACTCTCACTTTCGACTCAGATATCTGAGCTTGTGTGGTTTGAAGTGCGTTATTTTACTGTATACTATCTGAATAATATCCAAGGTACACCATTTTGTAAAATGTAATTTATTTTATATATCTTCAGATGTAATTCATTTTTTTTCATTTGAACTTTAATTAACTAAATCATCATCGACTTTCGTTCTTCCGTATATCTGTTACAGTTCTTTTTACTTTCTCGTATATACGAAGTATAGAGAAAGTCTTGTAATCGTGCAAAAAAAAAATCGAGATTTTTGCAAATCTCGACGTTTTGCATCTCACTGATACGGAAAAACATAATTTTGCAATCTTGTCCGTATGTCTGTGTGTCTGTGTGTGTGTGTGTCTGTGTGTGTGTGTGTCCGTGTGTAAACACGATAACTTGAGTACCGTTACAGCTAGGTTGATGAAATTTCATATATAAGTATTTTATCAAAATCGTAGATCCGTATCAACTTTGAGCGATTTCCGACAACCGGAAGTGGTACTTTTTCTACTTTGAATTTTTCAAAAGCCTATAACTTGAGTACTATTTCAGATAGATAAATTAAATTTCACATGTAAGTAAAAGATCTAATTCTCTACCTTCTGTTAAATTTTGAGTAATTTCCGTTGACCGGAAGTAGTAATTTACGCTACTTCCGATTTCTCAAAAAACTAATGTAAATTTTTAAAGTACTAATAATATTGCGCACTATTATGCGCTTTTTTATTTCGCGTTCACTTAGTGTGCAATTAATTTGTCTACGACATTTTATTCTATTTTTAAAACTTTAAGTATTTAAAATGGATTAAAAATCATGTCTATAGCCCGAGTTCCCATCCCCTGTTATTTTATATAAAAATATTCGAGAAAGTTTAGGGGAGATCACTCCCGGTTTATTATATTAGATGGAGAAAGGTGCCAGAGAACTGAACAATGGAATTCAAACTGTGATTTGAAAAGGTTCTTTGTAACGAAATTTTTGAGCGTTATTTACACAAGTGTTTAATTTGTTTTAAGTTCAAACAAAAGCTGATATGTTCTACATTAGTTCATTTTTTTTCTAATGATTAAAATTTTAAAATTATTTCTCAAGTCTCACTCAGTTAAACCAAACTCATTTACTGAGTAATCAATCAGCTGGTAGGGGTCGGCTTCGAGTTCAAACCCTCGGGCAGATGAGGCTCGTTAGCTTTGGACAGCCACTCTCTAGGATATATAATCAAAATTAAACAACTGCTGCCTTGTAGTTTGTTCTTGGTTGGACAAAGGCTATGGAAGCAAATCCAAAAACAAAAGTCGGCTGAAACCGGAGTCAATGGCCTCAATGGCGCATAACCAATTGACACGTATCCTTAATTGTGTCGGAGGGGATCCCTTCCAAGACTAAAATGAAAAAGAAGAATCAACTTGTATTTTAGTTTGAGGTTTTTATTTCCGTTCCGTACAGCTCTAACAAAACTAAACTGTCAGATCTGCGAACTGCGTGACGTCTGCTCATTGATGACATCACAACTGTGAGCTCTCGTCTGCTCCGTGACCTCATTTGCATGAAGTGCTGGTGGATCGTCCAATGACGGTGCAGGTACATTGGAACGTCTGGCCGCCGAAAACTTCCGGGAAGACTTCACCGTTGTTCCGACAGACGCCTTTGCTGTCCTTACAGCCTGCAGGGGGGGGGGGGGGGGGGGGGAGACAAGTCGTGACGTCACACTTAGTGTTTACATTTGTTATCATGGTAACGGCAGGTAGAGATTATACACACTTGAAGTTTTTTAAAAAAATCTACTTCTTGACTTTACGGGTTTATTTCATTGTTTTCTACATCAAAATGTGACACTAAAATAAAAAGTGTTTAAGAAAAGTGACTGGTCAAAATTGACATCAATCTATGGGGCGGGGGAGGGGCTTTTTCGCCAAGGTGAATAACTGTAACTAGTATGGTAGGCACAATGTCTCTTTACACGTTTGTTGACGTCAACTATCAGATCGCGTATTACTGCTCTAGTTCTTTATTTGAACTAGTAATAACGTCAGCTAGATTAACACGTACATGAATATAGACAGACCAAACCTGACCTATGACAGACCAAACCTGACCTATGACAGACCAAACCTGACCTATGACAGACCAAACCTGACCTATGACAGACCAAACCTGATCTATGACAGACCAAACCTGACATATGACAGACCAAACCTGACCTATGACAGACCAAACCTGACCTAAGACAGACCAAACCTGACCTATGACAGACCAAACCTGACCTATGACAGACCAAACCTGACATATGACAGACCAAACCTGACTTATGACAGATCAAACCTGATCTATGAGAGACCAAACCTGACCTATGAGAGACAAAACCTGACCTATGACAGACCAAACCTGACCTATGACAGACCAAACCTGACCTATGACAGACCAAACCTGACCTATGACAGCCCAAACCTGACTTATGACAGACCAAACCTGACCTATGACAGATCAAACCTGACCTATGACAGACTAAACCTGACCTATGACAGACCAAACCTGACCTATGACAGACCAAACTTGACCTATGACAGACCAAACTGTCACGACAGCCATACTCACGTGACGTGACGATGTCAGTTTTCAAGATGGTGCTGCCATTTTCCGTGACAGCCTGACAGCCGTACGTGAAACAGCCGTCATTGAACTTGCTGTTGATGGCGTAGCACTGACCTTTGAACTCACAGGCTGAAATACCAGATGACACAATTAGGCACACATTCATCACAAAATTAGTCATTTAGTCTCGTAAATATGCTAACAAATAAACCGGGAGTGATCTCCCCTAAACTTTCTCGAATATTCTTATATAACACAACGGGGGATGGCAACTCGGGATATAGAAATGATTTTTAATCCATTTTTAATTACTTAAACTGTTATAAATAGAATAGAAAGTAGTAGAAAAAAGAATTGCACACCAAGTGAAACCAAACAATATGAGTATAATAGTGTGGAATATTATTAGTCATTTATAAATTCACATGCGGTTTTGAGAAATCGGAAATAGCGTAAATTACTACTTCCGGTCAACGGAAATTACTCAAATTAGGCAGAAAATTAGATCTTTTACTTACATGTGAAATTTCATTTTTTTTCCTGAAAAGTACTCAAGTTATAGTGTTTTAAAAAATTGAAAGTAGAATAAGTCCCACTTCCGTTTACCGAAAATCGCTGAAAAGCGGTTACATAACTAAAAATTTGATATAATACTTACATATGAAATTTCATCAACCTAGCTGTAACGGTACTCAAGTTATCGTGTTCACAGTCACATACACATACATATAAACATACAGAGAGACATACGAACACAACTGCAAAATTATGTTTTTCCGACTCAGGGAGGTAAAAAAAATCTCGATGAGATTTGTAAAAACCTCGATTTTTTTGCAAGATTACAATACTTCCTCTATACTTCGTATACGAGAAGTAAAAAAAAGGGAATAATTACAATTTTCGAACCACATTCATAACAAATTAACATATAAAAAAGGATTGGCTAATGAATGACAGAGAACCAAAACGAGAGACGCACTATTCACCGAAAACTTTTACAACCAAATGTTCACGTCATCACCAAACGACTCACCAGTTGTGGTAGGGGCGTAGCCTCCGTTGTTACATTTGTAGGTGATACACTTAGAGCCCCCTGGGTAGGTGAAAGTGGCGCCGTCAGCAACACTCAGGCCGTTGACGTTACATCCGGCTGTGGACATCAGGGTATATATATATATATATATATATATATATATATATATATATATATATATATATATATATATATATATATATATATATATATATATATATATTTGCGTGCGTCTATATATGTATAAACAAATAGCACCTATAATCAACCTATAACCGATGTAGTTTGGCTATACTGTACGACTATCACTAACCTGCTCTTTTGTCCAAGGACTTTGCCAGGGTGAAGGTCACAAGTAAAGCCAGACATACAGGGGTCAAGAGTTCCTGTAGAAATAAATGGTGGTACTCACCACCAACACAAACAGGTAAAATATAAGGTGGCCAAACTATCATAAACACAAACAGGTAAAATATAAGGTGGCCAAACTATCATAAACACAAACAGGTAAAATATAAGGTAGCCAAACTACCATAAACACAAACAGGTAAAATATAAGGTGGCCAAACTATCATAAACACAAACAGGTAAAATATAAGGTGGCCAAACTATCATAAACACAAACAGGTAAAATATAACGTGGCCAAACTACCATAAACACAAACAGGTAAAATATAAGGTGGCCAAACTACCATAAACACAAACAGGTAAAATATAAGGTAGCCCACCACCATAAACACAAACAGGTAAAATATAAGGTGGCCAAACTATCATAAACACAAACAGGTAAAATATAAGGTGGCCAAACTACCATAAACACAAACAGGTAAAATATAAGGTGGCCAAACTACCATAAACACAAACAGGTAAAATATAAGGTAGCCCACCACCATAAACACAAACAGGTAAAATATAAGGTGGCCCAACTACCATAAACACAAACTGGTAAAATATAAGGTAGCCCAACTACCATAAACACAAACAGGTAAAATATAAGGTGGCCAAACTACCATAAACACAAACAGGTAAAATATAAGGTAGCCAAACTATCATAAACACAAACAGGTAAAATATAAGGTAGCCAAACTATCATAAACGCAAACAGGTAAAATATAAGGTAGCCAAACTACCATAAACACAAACAGGTAAAATATAAGATGGCCAAACTACCATAAACACAAACAGGTAAAATATAAGGTAGCCAAACTACCATAAACACAAACAGGTAAAATATAAGATGGCCAAACTACCATAAACACAAACAGGTAAAATATAAGGTAGCCAAACTACCATAAACACAAACAGGTAAAATATAAGGTAGCCAAACTACCATAAACACAAACAGGTAAAATATAAGATGGCCAAACTACCATAAACACAAACAGGTAAAATATAAGGTAGCCAAACTACCATAAACACAAACAGGTAAAATATAAGATGGCCAAACTATCATAAACACAAACAGGTAAAATATAAGGTAGCCCAACTACCACCAACACAAACAGGTAAAATATAAGGTAGCCCAACTACCACCAACACAAACAGGTAAAATATAAGGTGGCCAAACTATCATAAACACAAACAGGTAAAATTTAAGGTGGCCAAACTACCATAAACACAAACAGGTAAAATATAAGGTAGTCAAACTATCATAAACACAAACAGGTAAAATATAAGATGGCCAAACTACCATAAACACAAACAGGTAAAATATAAGGTAGCCAAACTACCATAAACACAAACAGGTAAAATATAAGATGGCCAAACTACCATAAACACAAACAGGTAAAATATAAGGTAGCCAAACTACCATAAACACAAACAGGTAAAATATAAGGTAGCCAAACTACCATAAACACAAACAGGTAAAATATAAGATGGCCAAACTACCATAAACACAAACAGGTAAAATATAAGGTAGCCAAACTACCATAAACACAAACAGGTAAAATATAAGATGACCAAACTATCATAAACACAAACAGGTAAAATATAAGGTAGCCAAACTATCATAAACACAAACAGGTAAAATATAAGGTAGCCAAACTATCATAAACACAAACAGGTAAAATATAAGGTAGCCAAACTACCATAAACAAAAACAGGTAAAATATAAGGTAGCCAAACTACCATAAACACAAACAGGTAAAATATAAGATGGCCAAACTACCATAAACACAAACAGGTAAAATGTAAGGTAGCCAAACTACCATAAACACAAACAGGTAAAATATAAGATGGCCAAGCTATCATAAACACAAACAGGTAAAATATAAGGTAACCAAACAATCATAAACACAAACAGGTAAAATATAAGGTAGCCAAACTATCATAAACACAAACAGGTAAAATATAAAGTGGTCAAACTACCATAAACACAAACAGGTAAAATATAAGGTGGCCAAACTACCATAAACACAAACAGGTAAAATATAAGGTGGCCAAACTACCATAAACACAAACAGGTAAAATATAAGGTGGCCAAACTACCATAAACACAAACAGGTAAAATATAAGGTGGCCAAACTACCATAAACACAAACAGGTAAAATATAAGGTAGCCAAACTACCATAAACACAAACAGGTAAAATATAAGATGCCCAAACTACCATAAACACAAACAGGTAAAATATAAGGTAGCCCAACTAACATAAACACAAACAGGTAAAATATAAGATGGCCAAACTATCATAAACACAAACAGGTAATATATAAGGTGGCCAAACTACCATAAACACAAACAGGTAAAATATAAGGTAGCCAAACTACCATAAACACAAACAGGTAATATATAAGAGCAACATGACAACTCACCATCCTACCAGCAACATGACAACTCACCATCCTACCAGCAACATGACAACTAACCATCCTACCATCCTACCATCAACGTGACAACTCACCATCCTACCATCCTACCAGCAACATGACAACACACCATCCTACCATCCTACCATCAACATGACAACTCACCATCCTATCAGCAATATGACAATTAACAATCCTACCATCAACGTGACAACTCACCATCCTGCCATCCTACCATCAACATGACAACTCACCATTCTGCAAACGTTCGCTGTCCAAAGCTTCAGCAAGTGAGTAGCTTACCCTGTGATGTTCATCCGCTTTAAAAAGTTTTCTCTTATGCTAATTAGCGTCAGGTCTGAAGCCTAATCTAATTGTTAGCCTAATGAGCTGGGCTACAGAACAGAGTCATCGAGTAATTAGACTAAAGGTGGAGCTCTCATACAAGTTGAATTTAATTCGTTTCTTCACAAAAGTTAATTCACTCGTTGGTGGCTCAGGGTGTGTCGTCTTGGAAAGTTGTTTCATAGGGCAGAAAGGGGCATATAGGGGCATATAGAGGCATAAAGGGCATATAGGGGCACAAGAGAGGCCCTTCGTTTGTAGGGTGTCGACAGAAATTGCACAGTGACATGTTTCCTCAACTCTAAACGTGTGTCCTTCGCTTAATTCATGTAAATAGATGTGCATATAATTAGACAGATGTGCATACAAATAGTCGGCAACACAACAACTCGACAAATCCAGATTAGCGAATCCTTTCAGGCGTTAATTTGAATGGAAACAACGTTTACACAAGGCTAAAGTCGATGTCTGCAGAGTTTGGGGGTCGGGCTAACAAAACATTTGTTTTAATTATTGCACCAGCTGTCGTTTAGCTGCGAGCATTAGTTGAGATGTCTGATGTATGAAACATCAGTAATGATGTCACAAGATGTATGAAACATCAGTAGAGATGTCATAAGATGTATGAAACATTAGTAATGATGTCACAAGATGTTTGAAACATCAGTAGAGATGTCATAAGATGTATGAAACATCAGTAATGATGTCAAAAGATGTATGAAACATTAGTAATGATGTCACAAGATGTTTGAAACATCAGTAGAGATGTCATAAGATGTATGAAACATCAGTAATGATGTCACAAGATGTGTGAAACATCAGTAATGATGTCACAAGATGTGTAAAACATCAGTAATGATGTCACAAGATGTATGAATCATCAGTAATCATGACACAAGATGTATGAAACATCAGTAATGATGTCACAAGATGTGTAAAACATCAGTTGAGTTCTCACATAATACTTGAAACATCACTTTAGATGTCACAATTGTCTTTTTCAGTTAGTTGTCAGAGCTTCGACAACGATCTAAGAAGGGGAGGTAATTGCCTTTCAGAGATCACAAGCAACGTGTCGGGGTTTGACGCAATTTGTAGTCGTCTGCTGTGTCGTGTCAACATCATTTGGAAAGGGATGCATTTATTAGGACCCGGGTCCCAATAGTGGCCGAGGCTATTAGGACCCGGGTCCCAATAGCCACGGCCGCTATTGGACCAGCCAATAGAATTGCTAGATTTAGTTATACAAAAGTTCTTTTAAGATGCAGAATATTGCTTTTCTGTTGTGAGTTTTTTCCCTTTTAATTCTAAATGATGTATTGCGATCTTGCTTTAAATACCCGATATCATTACTGACAAATGTTATGATGAGCGGGTGTCGTTAGGTCTATAATATAATTATGGCATATGGTATGAACTTCTATGGCCGAGCGAATGTTAAGCGCGCATGTTAAAATGTGTTTTATTTTTTTTCTGTTAAACGTAATTTGATTTCATATATATATATATATATATATATATATATATATATATATATATATATATATATATATATATATATATATATATATATATATACATATATATATATATATATATATATATATATATATATATATATATATATATATATATATATATATATATATATATATATAATTGTATAAAAAAGCTCTATAGGCTGCAGACTACAGCTTCCGGGCCCGTTTTCTTGAACACGAATATCTCGCATGCGTTGTAGTACGCTTTAATAGAAGCAATATGTAACATTTGAACTCACAATGACCCCAAATCCGTCTTTCCCTCTTGCTGGGTTGGGAAGGGGGGGGGGGGGGACTACGACGACAACAAATCTCGACAAGCTCATAGCAATGGTCTTGCTATGACGTATGCTATACGCCTACACTGTTCACATTTATACCAAAGCGAACTCACAGTTAACCTAGGCTACACCGTGTCGGTATTTTTCTTGCGCTGACCAGAAAACGCTAGCGGGCGTTCAATGGATCAACTATGTTTTTATAATTGGCGTGTTTAAAAACCTAAATCTAGAAAAAAATATATAGTCTAAAAAAACAATTAAAAAAAGACACTCATGCAATCAACTCAATGAAATGTTAAACTTTGATTAATACACTACTTCTCGCAAAAACGAGAGCTTTGATAGGTTCCGATCCCGTAACTAATAGAGAATCGGGGGAAACTGCGTTCTCCACTCGACCACGACGTCATACGATAATACCTAATTATTTAATGATTTTGTATATAGAGCTAAATATAGGGTATTTAGAAATAGCAATGCAAGAACTAAAGCTAGCTAATCCGCATAACCAATTACAATAAAAGACAACAAAATACGAGCAAATACACAAGAAAAATCAAATAAACATAAAAGATATAATTTTAATACAGGTTGTACAAGTGCTTAACGAACTTAATGCCGGGTCCCAATAGCGGCCGTGGCTATTAGGCCCCGGGTCCCAATAGCCACTTCCTTTGGAAAGTGTGAGCTTCATTTAAAAAGTGTGAGCTTCATTTAGAAAGTGTGAGCTTCATTTAGAAAGTGCGAGCATCATTTAGAAAGTGTGAGCTTCATTTAGATAGTGTGAGCTTCATTTAGAAAGTGTGAGCTTCATTTAGAAAGTGTGAGCTTTATTTAGAAAGTGTGAGCTTTATTTAGAAAGTGTGAGCTTCATTTAGAAAGTGTGAGCTTCATTTAGAAAGTGTGAGCGCCATTTAAAAAGTGTGAGCTTGATTTAGAAAGTGTGAGCTTCATTTAGAAAGTGTGAGCTTCATTTAGAAAGTGTGAGCTTCATTTAGAAAGTGTGAGCTTCATTTAGAAAGTGTGAGCTTTATTTAGAAAGTGTGAGCTTAATTTAGAAAGTGTGAGCTTCATTTAGAAAGTGCGAGCTTCATTTAGAAAGTGTGAGCTTTATTTAGAAAGTGTGAGCTTAATTTAGAAAGTGTGAGCTTCATTTAGAAAGTGTGAGCTTCATTTAGAAAGTGTGAGCTTCATTTAGAAAGTGTGAGCTTCATTTAGAAAGTGTGAGCTTCATTTAGAAAGTGTGAGCTTCATTTAGAACAAATAACTTAAAATTGGAAAATAAAACTTGTATGAAAAAAAAATGTGTAATAATAAAAAAATGTGTAATAATAAGCGTGTAAAGTACTGGAAAAAAGACAATAAAACTTTCTTTCTTTCTTTATAAAAGCTTTAGTCGCTCATGTAATCTCCCACACACGTGTGGGAGTGTGGGAATGGTGTGGGGAATGGTGTGGGAATGGTGTGGGAATGGTGTGGGGAATAGGGTGGTGGCCCATTTCTACGTTGTTTGGTCTGCCAATAGACAGCTCTCACGGTTAAACTAGCTTTTGATTGGTTGATACTGATCTGTCAGCGTCACAAAGCCCATTGGACATGTTCGCAACGACCTTCATTGATGACCTACATTGATATCCGTGTCGGTTCATTACCAACAACAAGGACGCCCCCCCCCCCCCCACCTCTTCCCTCACCTCCCCCCCACACCAACAAACTGACAGATAGAAATCTACACATATTTGTAGAATAGTGATTGGAAAAAGCTAACGAGGCTAGGACATTTTATTTCATACATGTTTTAATCTGTTGATTACATCTTGCACTCAATGACATTGTTGAATTATTCTATTTATAGGCCAATCTAAGCACTTCTTTTATAATCATTCAGGTCCTATACAAGCCATATTGTATATATTTTACACCACCATTTTTATATTCGTTCTGTTGACTCGTACGTTTCTCAAATAAAATGTGCGACGTTTAATTGAATTCCATTCATCAAAATGTGTCGCTATCCTTAAGTAAGGTAATTTGGGACGGTTGAGGCCGACCGGTCATGGGTTTGTTTACATCCGGTGTTGACAAACCCTCCAGGATATGACGGGCACGCTCGGAATGTTTCATTTTAACCAATCAAAATTGACGTTTTGTGTGCTACGCTTCAACGATCTTTAGATTAATTTAAAAAAAAAAACAGAACTTCCGTAATTTTTTATGTTTTGATTTAATGTTAAAATCTACGTCTGAACCTGCCTATATAAAGCATCAAACACAAGTGAAACTCATTCGGCCATAAGATTGTTGAACATAGCTGTTTCATACAGGGAGCTTTAGCAGCCAACAGCTTAAGACAGCCAACAGCTTAAGACAGCCAACAGCCCAAGACAGCCAACAGCCCAAGACAGCCAACAGCTTAAGACAGCCAACAGCCCAAGACAGCCAACAGCCCAAGACAGCCAACAGCCCAAGACAGCCAACAGCTTAAGACAGCCAACAGCCCAAGACAGCCAACAGCTTAAGACAGCCAACAGCCCAAGACAGCCAACAGCTTAAGACAGCCAACTTGTGACGAGAAAATGTTTCTCGTACAGCTGCTGTTCACTTTGTTACTCTGCAGCCCCGCATGTAAAGTAACATTTTAATTTCAGGATTAGTTTTGTTTCAAATCTTTTATAAAACATATTTACCAATATTGTGTTTACTTGCTGTCTAAACAAAATCATTTTTAATTTCAGTATGTAGAATAGCACCGGGCTTCCCTATCGACTGCCTCCAGGTCGCCTGCAAGTGTCCATACGGCACCATATGGTCGACGGACGCCAACGGATGTGACGTCTGCAGCTGTAAGCCGGCTCCGTGTCTACCAGCTGTTTGTCCTACCATCAAATGTGCCTACGGTCTGGCTACCGACGCCAACGGCTGTGAGATCTGCAGCTGTAAGCCGGCTCCGTGTCTACCAGCTGTTTGTCCTACCATCAAATGTGCCTACGGTCTGGCTACCGACGCCAACGGATGTGAAATCTGTAGCTGTAAGCCGGCTCCGTGTCTACCAGCTGTTTGTCCTACCATCAAATGTGCCTACGGTCTGGCTACCGACGCCAACGGCTGTGAGATCTGCAGCTGTAAGCCGGCTCCGTGTCTACCAGCTGTTTGTCCTACCATCAAATGTGCCTACGGTCTGGCTACCGACGCCAACGGATGTGAAATCTGTAGCTGTAAGCCGGCTCCGTGTCTACCAGCTGTTTGTCCTACCATCAAATGTGCCTACGGTCTGACTACTGACGCCAACGGCTGTGAAATCTGCAGCTGTAAGCCGGCTCCGTGTCTACCAGCTGTTTGTCCTACCATCAAATGTGCCTACGGTCTGGCTACCGACGCCAACGGATGTGAAATCTGTAGCTGTAAGCCGGCTCCGTGTCTACCAGCTGTTTGTCCTACCATCAAATGTGCCTACGGTCTGGCTACCGACGCCAACGGATGTGAAATCTGCAGCTGTAAGCCGGCTCCGTGTCCGCTGGTCAAATGTGCCAACTTCTGCCGGGGCGGGTTCCTGACGGACGAGAACGGGTGCCAGACCTGCCGGTGTAAGTGCCTGGAGTACGCCTGCAGGTGCCCGTACGGCACCATCTGGACTGTTGACATCAACGGCTGTAGAAGATGCAGCTGTAGGCCTAGGCTGGGCAGGCCTGTGCTGGACCTTGCTGAGGTTTGAGTGGACATGGGCGTGGCTGGGTCACGTATGTGTATGGGTCACGTGTGTGTGGGTCACGTGTGTGTGGGTCACGTGTGTGTGTGTGGGTCACGTGTGTGTGTGGGTCACGTGTGTGGCAGGATCACGTGTCACCAAGATCACTAGCTGAAGGGTGATCAGCTGGATACATGTGGTCATCTATACTTACATCTAGAGATATGTGTATTTATGAGCGATCGCCATTTGTTACAGAAAACTACGTGGTCCAGTGTTGAAATATTGTGTTATTTTTTATTTTATTATAAATAAATTTTCTTTGATACTGCAATATTATTGTGTTGTTGTTTGATTACATTGCCGAGCTGCAATCTTGTCTTGTATTTTACATTTAGTTCCGCTGCTTTTTATTTTAGAATAAAATTCAATTGCTTTTTTTAGACTTTAAAAATTCTATTCATTCTGTAATGAAATCCTTTTTTTGGCGATTCCCCCCCCCCTCCCCTACCTCACACGTCGTCACAAAAGCTCCACCCTCGTCATCATCACACACCGTCACAAAATTACACCCCCTCCCCCTTACGAGTGTGACGTCATTTATGCACGATCCCTAACACACATACAGAAAACAAGTTAATACAAAATACAGAAAATATGTTGAAGAATTCACACACAAAAATAGAGAAAAAATGTTTTAGAAAACACATGTATTTTAAGATACCTAAAAATATCCTATTTTGTAACGCACACATTTAAGGTTATGACGTCAGTGTTTATTCAAGCGTGTCGACCTACATCTCATCAGAATCTAGGTCAGGGCCGTAATAACAGAAACACCTTCTGCAACCCTCCCTGTCCAAAGTCCAGTAGGTCAAGAATGGACAAGTACACCTGTCCTCTGGACATTTGCACCGACACACTGGGCATCCTCTGGAATCTTCCTGGAAACCACGGGAGCAGCGGAGGTTGCAGGTGAAACGCCCACAAGATGGCGGCTGACATTGGCAGGTGGGGCAGCCGTTGGCGTCTGTGCCGTGGGCGTGGCCGTGGGGGCAAAGGTCAGGGCAAGAGGGCGCTGGACATGTTGGGTGACATTCGCAAATGTCACATCCATAAATGTCCTTGCTGAAAGTGACGTCACCAGCACACGGCGGACACTGCGGTGGACGACACACGGCAGCACACCTACACACCTCACAGCCGTCCTGGTCCTTTTCCTGCACGACCCCCGCAGGACAGGCGACAGGACATTGTGCTGCATCAGGACATTTGACCGGCGCACACTCACAGACCTCACATCCCCTCTCGTCCGTCCGCACCCTGAGGCCTGACCTACACGCCGCGGGGCAGGGCAGGAACGGGCAGTCCACGCGCTGACACAAGCACACGTCACATCCGTTGTGGTCTCGGTCAAGGACGACGAGGTCCCCGCACAGTTCCGGGCAGACGGGCAGCGGGCATTGACCTCGCTGGCAGCGACAGACCGTACAGCCGTTGTCGTCTTGCTCGAAGGTAAATCCTCCCCCACACACCCCGTCCGGGCAGACGGGCAGCGGGCAGGACGCGGGGAGGCAGTCACACACAGCACAGCCGCGTGAATCTGTCGAGAGGAGTAACCGCCCCTGGCAGTCGACACCCGAGCAGTCTAGCTGGGGACACGCCTCACATTCACACACCTCGCACCCGTCGGCGTCCGTCACCTGACCGTAGGGGCAGTACAAGAACAGGCATCTGACGTCACACTCTGGCTTACACTGGCAGGTCTTACAGCCTCGCTGGTCAGTGGCGAAACCAGCCGGACACTGGTCAGTCGCGTGACACGGAAGTTGGAGACACTCGTCTGCTTGACATGCGCAGACCGGACAGTTGTTGTCGTCTGTTTGCAGACCGTTCGGACACGTGATACCCGTGCAGGTGATGACTGGACAGGCCTGGATGGTTGACTTACAGCGACAAACAGCACAGCCGTACAGGTCCAGGGTCCACTCCGTGCCGTAGGGACAGTCGCAGTTGACCTCTGGACACGACAGGGGGGCGGGCTGGGCTGGAGTAGAGGAGGCAGGTGAGTGGGGTGGTGTTAGGGGTGGGGGGGGGTGATCATTGTTTGGTACAGTGTATTTTTGTATATTGTCATTGTTTGGTGCAATATGCTGTTGTATATTGTCATTGTTTGGTACAGTTTGTTGTATATTGTCATTGTTTGGTACAGTGTGCTGTTGTATATTGTCATTGTTTGGTACATTGTGTTGTTGTATATTGTAATTGTTTGGTACAGTGTGTTTTTGTATATTGTCATTGTTTGGTACAGTGTGTTGTTGTATATTGTCATTGTTTGATACAGTGTGTTGTTGTATATTGTCATTGTTTGGTACAGTGTGCTGTTGTATATTGTCATTGTTTGGTACAGCATGTTGTTGTATATGGTCATAGTTTGGTACAGTGTTGTTGTATATTGTCATTGTTTGGTACAGTGTGCTGCTGTATATTGTCATTGTTTGGTACAGCATGTTGTTGTATATTTTCATTGTTTGGTACAGTGTGTTGTATATTGTCATTGTTTGGTACAGTGTGTTGTATATTGTCATTGTTTGGTACAATGTGTTGTATATTGTCATTGTTTGGTACAGTGTGCTGTTGTATATTGTCATTGTTTGGTACAGTGTGTTGTTGTATATTGTCATTGTTTGGTACAGTGTGTTGTTGTATATTGTCATTGTTTGGTACAATGTGTTGTATATTGTCATTGTTTGGTACAGTGTGCTGTTGTATATTGTCATTGTTTGGTACAGTGTCTTGTTGTATAATGTCATTGTTTGGTTCAGTGTGTTGTTGTATATTGTCATTGTTTGGTACAGTGTGTTGTTGTATATTGTCATTGTTTGGTACAGTGTGTTGTTGTATATTGTCATTGTTTGGTACAGTGTGTTGTTGTATATTGTCATTGTTTGGTACAGTGTGTTGTTGTATATTGTCATTGTTTGGTACAGTGGGTTGTATATTGTCATTGTTTGGTACAGTGTGTTGTTGTATATTGTCATTGTTTGGTACAGTGGGTTGTTGTATATTGTCATTGTTTGGTACAGTGTGTTGTTGTATATTGTCATTGTTTGGTACAGTGTGTTGTTGTATATTGTCATTGTTTGGTACAGTGTGTTGTATATTGTCATTGTTTGGTACAGTGTGTTGTTGTATATTGTCATTGTTTGGTACAGTGTGTTGTTGTATATTGTCATTGTTTGGTACAATGTGTTGTATATTGTCATTGTTTGGTACAATGTGTTGTATATTGTCATTGTTTGGAACAATGTGTTGTATATTGTCATTGTTTGGTACAATGTGTTGTATATTGTCATTGTTTGGTACAATGTGTTGTATATTGTCATTGTTTGGTACAATGTGTTGTATATGGTCATTGTTTGGTACAATGTGTTGTATATTGTCATTGTTTGGTACAGTGTGTTGTTGTATATTGTCATTGTTTGGTACAGTTTGTTGTATATTGTCATTGTTTGGTACAGTGTGCTGTTGTATATTGTCATTGTTTGGTACAGTGTGTTGTTGTATATTGTCATTGTTTGGTACAGTGTGCTGTTGTATATTGTCATTGTTTGGTACAGTGGGTTGTTGTATATTGTCATTGTTTGGTACAGTGTGTTGTTGTATATTGTCATTGTTTGGTACAGTGTGTTGTTGTATATTGTCATTGTTTGGTACAGTGTGTTGTATATTGTCATTGTTTGGTACAGTGTGTTGTTGTATATTGTCATTGTTTGGTACAGTGGGTTGTATATTGTCATTGTTTGGTACAGTGTGTTGTTGTATATTGTCATTGTTTGGTACAGTGGGTTGTTGTATATTGTCATTGTTTGGTACAGTGTGTTGTTGTATATTGTCATTGTTTGGTACAGTGTGTTGTTGTATATTGTCATTGTTTGGTACAGTGTGTTGTATATTGTCATTGTTTGGTAAAGTGTGTTGTTGTATATTGTCATTGTTTGGTACAGTGTGTTGTTGTATATTGTCATTGTTTGGTACAATGTGTTGTATATTGTCATTGTTTGGTACAATGTGTTGTATATTGTCATTGTTTGGTACAATGTGTTGTATATTGTCATTGTTTGGTACAATGTGTTGTATATTGTCATTGTTTGGTACAATGTGTTGTATATTGTCATTGTTTGGTACAATGTGTTGTATATTGTCATTGTTTGGTACAGTGTGTTGTTGTATATTGTCATTGTTTGGTACAGTTTGTTGTATATTGTCATTGTTTGGTACAGTTTGTTGTATATTGTCATTGTTTGGTACAGTGTGCTGTTGTATATTGTCATTGTTTGGTACAGTGTGTTGTTGTATATTGTCATTGTTTGGTACAGTGTGTTGTTGTATATTGTCATTGTTTGGTACAATGTGTTGTATATTGTCATTGTTTGGTACAGTGTGCTGTTGTATATTGTCATAGTTTGGTACAGTGTGTTGTTGTATATTGTCATTGTTTGGTTCAGTGTGTTGTATATTGTCATTGTTTGGTACAGTGTGTTGTTGTATATTGCCATTGTTTGGTACAGTGTGTTGTTGTATATTGCCATTGTTTGGTACAGTGTGTTGTTGTATATTGCCATTGTTTGGTACAGTGTGTTGTTGTATATTGCCATTGTTTGGTACAGTGTGTTGTTGTATATTGTCATAGTTTGGTACAGTGTGTTGTTGTATATTGTCATTCAGTGTGTTGCTTTATATTGTCATAGTTTGGTACAGTGTGTTGTTGTATATTGTCATTGTTTGGTACAGTGTGTTGTTGTATATTGCCATTGTTTGGTACAGTGTGTTGTTGTATATTGTCATTGTTTGGTACAGTGTGTTGTTGTATATTGTCTTTGTTTGGTACAGTTTGTTGTTGTATATTGTCATTGTTTGGTACAGTGTGTTGTTGTATATTGTCATTGTTTGGTACAGTGTGTTGTTGTATATTGTCATTGTTTGGTACAGTGTGTTGCTGCATGGCGTCAATTGTCAGCATTACAAGTTTTGTAATAACAAATGTCCATATTGGACATTATGTTGTTTAGCTGAAGTTCTATATGACAAGTATGTCTTCTTGTTATCAGATCCTAACAAATTCTAATAGGGAACATGATGGGAACATGATGGGAACATTATGGGAATATGATGGGAACATGATGGGAATATGATGGGAATATGATGGGAATATGATGGGAACATGATGGGAACAACGTTTCAAGGCGGGGACACTTTATGTGATGAGATAATAACTTTAAATAATTCATACATTAATATTTATATATGTATGTAAATTAGTATGTATACATAATATAAAACCCTAACATACTTACAAGAGGTGCAGTAGATCCCCATTAAGACGAAGACAGCGACTAAGCTAGAGTCCATCATGTTTACAGTGCTATGATAAAACAAATAATGAGAGATAATCCACCACTACATCTGTCATTTATGAGTTAATCCTCCACTGTAGATGTTATTTGTTGGTGAATTTGTTTGACAGGTGGGGCGTGTTATCTGACCCCCATCTTCCTGTTGTCGCGTGCTCAATGTTGTTGATCTAACTGCTGTTGTGGTCAACTGTTGATCTAACTGCTGTTGTTGTCTGTCAACCTGTTGATCTAACTGCTGTTGTGGTCAACTGTTGATCTAACTGCTGTTGTGGTCAACTGTTGATCTAACTGCTGTTGTGGTCAACTGTTGATCTAACTGCTGTTGTGGTCAAATGTTGATCTAACTGCTGTTGGCCTTGTTGTCCTGTCTAAAACTCACATATTTTATCGCCAGCTAACGACAAACACATGTAAATATGACGCCCATAACTTTACAACTCGCGAGTGGCAACAGTCACCAAAGTTGATTTTACTTGGGTTTCTGAATCAAAATTTCTGTCAGGTTTTTTTTTTCATAGCTTCTTTGCAAGCTTAATTTCATAAGAGCTGTGTTTGTGTGTTCGTTTGTGTGTGTGTGTGTGTGTGTGTGTGTGTGTGTGGTTGTGTGTGTGTGTTGAACATGAACAGCTACTCGACAAGTCACGTGATCTGGTGTTCATGTGTTGTGTTTAAAACTAGAACCAATAGAAGCGGCATCGTTTGATGAGTTGAGTCCGACCATTATTATTGACATGGAAAGAAAAAGTTAGTTTTTTTTTTTTTTTTTATGCGGCGTGAATTAATTTTTTAAAGTTTGTGGTTACATTTTTATTTTCATCCAGCCTAAACTATAGCCCGATGTTTCACTTTTGTAGGACAAACGGATCGGCTGTACAGGAACTTCATTATTGATATTCTGAAAACCCCACTTCATAAGCAACTCATAGTCATTTGTACTCTAATACAGTTTTTAAATACATTTGTTTATTATACCACAATATATAGTTCAGCCATGATTGTTGTCATTTTGTGGGATAGAATATTTAAACAACCAAACTGTTTTTGCCTTTTTAAAAACTGTGTTGAGTTACCGAAAATACTAAAACATCAAATACATTCAATCTCAAATAAAGTCCGTCAAAATGAAACAGGTTTTTATAAGCCTATTTATTTTAAGAACATCGCACTAGATTTAAATTATTTTATAGACCATATCGAGACTATTCACGGCTGCGTCCATTGTTAGAGAAAATATTTTGGCAATTGTTGTGTATTTGCAATTAGATTACCATCAGCTAGCCACACAATGTTAAGAATCGACCCGTCTACCGTTTTACAATAGGCAAATATTGCACGCTATTGATCTGGCCTAAAGAAAACATAGGCCAAGGGAGAATAAATATGGTAGTAGTTGCGCTTACAGCTTCAGGTTGACTTACCTTTGACTTAAGTTTTTTTTTTTTTTTTTTTACAATTCAGATACACTGTTTAATGTTTGCAAGCTTTTAAATACACAACAAATACTAAAATAATAATAGTAAAATTTTTAGTCGATTAAGAAATCATTGATACATTTAAAAATCCCAGCTGTTATATTTTTCTTCCTACCCTTAAACTCGTTTACAATAGAAGTGTTTACATTTGTTTTTTTGTTTTTTTAGATATTGTTTTTAAAATCTGTGGTAAAGCTAACTATTAATGAACTCTTTCTTTGACACTTTATATTTTTTAAATAACAAGCTAAACTTAACGGACGGCTAGAATAGTCCCGAATGGTTCATATCATATTTAGAAATCGTTTGCGTTCTTAAAGTGTGCTTATAAACACATTTTATGGAGGATTGTGTCGGTCTTATTGGATTGTTTTTTTATGTTTATAGACATTTCGGTAACGAAACAAAATTATTAAAAAACCTAAAGTATAAGCTTTTTGTTTTTAAATTTTATTACGAAAATGTCAATAAATGTGTCAAAGCTAGGTCACGTGGTATGATTGTATTCAAGTATTTAAAGATTTTATCGGCAAAGTTCTGAGAACAAATGATTACAAAATGGGGCTTTCTGAGATCGATCTCAGAGTTTCTACTCTGATGAATTCAATTCGTCAATCTAGGTGTCCATTTTGTTGTCGTGTTTCATGATGAGAATAAACTTGCTTCAGGGGTCGGGTGGTCGAATGCTAGAGCGCTTGACCACTAGTCCTAAGATCTCTAGCTCGGGTCGGACCTGTCACTCGCTCCTGAGCCCACCCAACTCTGCTTCACCTGCTCCATGTATAATCTTGGTCACGAAAACATGATGATGATTACGTTTTAAGATAATTGGTTTATTTTCCTCTTGTGAGTGTGTAAATATAATTTTGCTTTTCTAAACATTTTTTTATGAATTATATTAAACGAGACAATAAACAAATACCACAAAATTTTAAAATAAAAGCAAAGCAGACAAATTAAACACACACTGTTGATGAGAAACTAATTATCAACAACTAACTAACATGAGAGGATTTGTTTTTATTTAATGTGAGTTTACAAATATGTTTGTGTCGGGTTGACCCACATGACAACCACAGGGGACAACCACAGGGGACAACCACAGGGGACAACCACAGGGGACAACCTCAGGGGACAACAACCTCAGGGGACAACCTCAGGGGACAACCTCAGGGGACAACCTCAGGGGACAACAACCACATGGGACAACAACCTCAGGGGACAACCTCAGGGGACAACCTCAGGGGACAACAACCACATGGGACAACCACATGGGACAACCTCAGGGGACAACCTCAGGGGACAACCTCAGGGGACAACCTCAGGTGACAACCTCAGGGGACAACCTCAGGGGACAACAACCTCAGGGGACAACCTCAGGGGACAACCTCAGGGGACAACAACCACAGGGGACAACCACAGGTGACAACCTCAGGGGACAACCTCAGGGGACAACCACAGGGGACAACCACAGGGGACAACCACAGGGGACAACCTCAGGGGACAACAACCTCAGGGGACAACCTCAGGGGACAACCTCAGGGGACAACCTCAGGGGACAACAACCACATGGGACAACAACCTCAGGGGACAACCTCAGGGGACAACCTCAGGGGACAACAACCACAGGGGACAACCTCAGGGGACAACCACAGGGGACAACAACCTCAGGTGACAACAACCTCAGGAGACAACCTCAGGGGACAACAACCTCAGGGGACAACCTCAGGTGACAACAACAAAAGGGGACAACCACAGGGGACAACCACAGGGGACAACCTCAGGGGACAACCTCAGGGGACAACCACAGGTGACAACCTCAGGGGACAACCTCAGGGGACAACCACAGGGGACAACCACAGGGGACAACCTCAGGTGACAACCTCAGGGGACAACCTCAGGGGACAACCACAGGGGACAACCTCAGGTGACAACCTCAGGGGACAACAACCACAGGGGACAACCACAGGGGACAACCACAGGTGACAACCTCAGGGGACAACAACCACAGGGGACAACCACAGGGGACAACCACAGGGGACAACAACCACAGGGGACAACCACAGAAGACAACCACAGGTGACAACCTCAGGGGACAACCTCAGGGGACAACCTCAGGGGACAACCTCAGGGGACAACCTCAGGTGACAACCTCAGGGGACAACAACCACAGGGGACAACCACAGAAGACAACCTCAGGGGACAACCTCAGGGGACAACAACCACAGGGGACAACCACAGGGGACAACCACAGGTGACAACCTCAGGGGACAACAACCACAGGGGACAACCACAGGGGACAACCACAGGGGACAACAACCACAGGGGACAACCACAGAAGACAACCACAGGTGACAACAACCACAGGGGACAACAACCACATTGGACAACCACAGGGGACAACCACAGGGGACAACAACCACAGGGGACAACCACAGGGGACAACCACAGGGGACAACAACCACAGGGGACAACCACAGAAGACAACCACAGGTGACAACCTCAGGGGACAACCTCAGGGGACAACCTCAGGGGACAACCTCAGGGGACAACAACCACAGGGGACAACCACAGGGGACAACCTCAGGGGACAACCACAGGTGACAACCTCAGGGGACAACAACCACAGGGGACAACCTCAGGGGACAACCTCAGGGGACAACAACCACAGGGGACAACCTCAGGGGACAACCTCAGGGGACAACAACCACAGGGGACAACCTCAGGTGACAACCTCAGGGGACAACAACCACAGGGGACAACCACAGAAGACAACCACAGGTGACAACCTCAGGGGACAACAACCACAGGGGACAACCTCAGGTGACAACCTCAGGGGACAACCTCAGGGGACAACAACCTCAGGGGACAACCTCAGGGGACAACCTCAGGCGACAACCTTTGGGGACAACAACCTCAGGGGACAACCTCAGGGGACAACCTCAGGGGACAACAACCACAGGGGACAACCACAGAAGACAACCACAGGTGACAACCTCAGGGGACAACAACCACAGGGGACAACCTCAGGTGACAACCTCAGGGGACAACAACCACAGGGGACAACCACAGAAGACAACCACAGGTGACAACCTCAGGGGACAACAACCACAGGGGACAACCTCAGGGGACAACCTCAGGGGACAACAACCACAGGGGACAACCTCAGGGGACAACAACCACAGGGGACAACCACAGAAGACAACCTCAGGGGACAACCTCAGGGGACAACCACAGGTGACAACCTCAGGGGACAACAACCACAGGGGACAACCTCAGGGGACAACCTCAGGGGACAACAACCACAGGGGACAACCTCAGGTGACAACCTCAGGGGACAACAACCACAGGGGACAACCACAGAAGACAACCACAGGTGACAACCTCAGGGGACAACAACCACAGGGGACAACCTCAGGGGACAACCTCAGGGGACAACAACCACAGGGGACAACCTCAGGTGACAACAACCACAGGGGACAACCACAGAAGACAACCACAGGTGACAACCTCAGGGGACAACAACCACAGGGGACAACCTCAGGTGACAACCTCAGGGGACAACCTCAGGGGACAACAACCTCAGGGGACAACCTCAGGGGACAACCTCAGGCGACAACCTTTGGGGACAACAACCTCAGGGGACAACCTCAGGGGACAACCTCAGGGGACAACAACCACAGGGGACAACCACAGAAGACAACCACAGGTGACAACCTCAGGGGACAACAACCACAGGGGACAACCTCAGGTGACAACCTCAGGGGACAACAACCACAGGGGACAACCACAGAAGACAACCACAGGTGACAACCTCAGGGGACAACAACCACAGGGGACAACCTCAGGGGACAACAACAACAGGGGACAACCACAGGGGACAACCTCAGGGGACAACCACAGGGGACAACCACAGGGGACAACCACAGGGGACAACCACAGGGGACAACCTCAGGGGACAACCACAGGGGACAACCTCATGGGACAACCTCAGGGGACAACCTTTGGGGACAACAACCTCAGGGGACAACCTCAGGGGACAACCTCAGGGGACAACCACAGGGGACAACCACAGGTGACAACCACAGGGGACAACCACAGGGGACAACCACAGGTGACAACCTCAGGGGACAACAACCACAGGGGACAACCACATGGGACAACCACAGGTGACAACCACAGATGACAACCACAGGGGACAACCACAGAAGACAACCACAGGTGACAACCACAGATGACAACCTCAGGGGACAACCTCAGGGGACAATCACAGTTGACAACCACAGGTGACAACAACCACAGGGGACAACAACCACATTGGACAACCACAGGGGACAACCACAGGGGACAACCTCAGGCGACAACAACCACAGGGGACAACCACAGGGGACAACAACCACAGGGGACAACCACAGGGGACAACAACCACAGGTGACAACCACAGGGGACAACCACAGGTGACAACCTCAGGGGACAACCACAGGGGACAACCTCAGGGGACAACCACAGAAGACAACCACAGGTGACAACCACAGGTGACAACAACCTCAGGTGACAACCTCAGGGGACAACAACAACAGGGGACAACCACAGGGGACAACCACACCTCGGGTTGTTGCTTACCTGCCGTCTGACGTCAACACGCTGTTTTAGTTGGTCACGTGATCGTTGTACCAGCTTAAACACGTGACTGACACGTGTTTTTTTATGGAATGAAAATAAGTGTACACAATTTCTGTAGCATAGTAAGATTTGGGAGGTAAAGTGGCATATATCGACATGTACCTACAGTTCACATCACAACAGAAACATTCGTTTTAATAAATACATCACAAATCCTCCCCACTCCACCCCTCCCCTCTATCCACCTGTCTTTGGGCATTTCCGTAAATTTTAATTAGATATGACGTAATTACCTGTACGAGCCACGTTGACAGCTGGGAGAGCCATATTAACAGTTGGTGCTAGAGAGCCATATTGACAGTTGGAAGACACAGTTAAGAGAGCCAAATTGACAGTTGGAAGACACAGTTAATAGAGCCACATTGACAGTTGGAAGACACAGTTAAGAGAGCCACATTGACAGTTGGAAGACACAGTTAAGAGAGCCACATTGACAGTTGGAAGACACAGTTAAGAGAGCCACATTGACAGTTGGAAGACACAGTTAAGAGAGCCACATTGACAGTTGGAAGACACAGTTAAGAGAGCCACATTGACAGTTGGAAGACACAGTTAAGAGAGCCACATTGACAGTTGGAAGACACAGTTAAGAGAGCCACATTGACAATTGGAAGACACAGTTCAGTTAAGAGAGCCACATTGACAGTTGGAAGACACAGTTAAGAGAGCCACATTGACAGTTTAATGTTTTATATTACAAATTAATAGCAAAATATAAATTTTATAATCTGCTCTTATCCGCTTTAATAAATAACACACTAAGCTTAACACTTTTTTTCTGTTGATTTTAGCATATGAAGGACAACTTACACTACCACTCTCATCAAACAGTCAAAAACATAAACAAGTTGAAGCAGAACAAGGCTAACCTGTTTATTTGTTGCATTAAACATGCATTTGTATTCTTAGATTATCATTGTAAACATGTAAATAGAAGTGATTAACTTAATCCGTGCATGCAATGACACGCGAGGATCAGTTGTAGCAGATGCAGCCACATTTGGCGATCTTGCTCTTATTTTTCTTCTTGTCCGCACACAATTTGTTGCACTCGGAGTTTGGGCAGTTGGGCTTGCACTCACACACGTCACAGCCCAGACTGTTCTTCTTATTTCCTGCCGGACACGTGAACTCACACTTGACATCCGGGCACTTGGTGGGCAGACATGCGCATCTAGGGCAGTTGTTCTCGTCTCTCTGGTAGCCTTGCTCACACAGCAGGACACAGTTGCTGATGTCTGGACAGGGGGCGGGGTTACAGTTGCATGTTGGGCAGTTGTTGGCGTCCAGCCTTAAGCCGTACATGCATTTGACGGGTGGACAAGCACGCTCCGGACATTTACATTTGCAGATAGGGCAGCCGTTGGTGTCTTTCTCTAGTCCGGAGCCGCAGGTTAGGTCACAGTTGAGGTCCTCGCAAGCTGGCTTGCTCTGGGTGTCTGAATGTTAACAAACAAAGCACCAAGTTTAAAACGTTTGTCTAGACTTTCAGATAAAAACATTAAGATATTAGATAAAGTGTTAAAAGGTCTTGAAAAGTATTTTTTAAAAGACATTATGTGATCTTTGACTCGCTTCGGTAGAAAGCTATAGTCCAGCCTATATCACCAATATGAGTATGTTGTCCTTACTGAAAAGTTGACATAGCACTAAGGCCACTAGCTGTCCACTGACCAGACCAACATACAACTAGAATACAGTGCCCATACTGTACATAACAATTCAAAGATATTCTTTTTTAAGTGGGTCGTGCATGAAATAATTGTTTTCAATTCATTATAACCAACTGCGGCAAGGAGATTGAGTTCAAACCCAACTCTAATTCTAGTTTAAAACTTTTAAATCTGAACACAAAATCAATCTAACCAACCTAAACAGTATTCCTATTAAAATTACTAAAACAAGACTTATTTCAAATTAGGTTATAAACTCTTATCAACATGAGAAATAACTCTTACCCAAATCCTAAACAAAAATAGTTTTATTTTCTTTTTTTTTTATGCATTTAAAAGGTTGTTGCTATGAAAGTTTTTTATATTTGTTTTACTGTGTACATTTTGGCAATTCCTAATTAATGAAGTCGACACGACTAAAGATATTTGCCTAAAAACACAATCAGCAACTCGCGGTATCTGAAGGACGTTTATCTGCCTCGTGAAAGCAGCCGTCCGTGATCATATATTACAGAAGTCCTAAATATAGTTACCTCCCCTTAGTTTCAAACCGTTTGAAAAACTGTATTATCTGCCCCTTAGCCTTCACTATATCGAACTGTTATACGATTGTAAATACTCTCGTGAACCACAGCTCACCAGACTGTTAGGGTGATCGCGTCTAGCTAGTTATCTCCCCTTCTGTTATTGAATATAGTAATCTATCGAGTGATTTAATGTTGTTATCTCCCCTTAGTTTCGAAACCGTTCAATTAATTTTAATGAGTAATTCAACATCTAACTAAATTTAAAAATGTATTGCCTTGTATTGTCATCGAAGTGGAACGTATCTGGAAAGTTTGAACGAAATCGCTGCATTAGAAGTGGGTCAAAACTGAGTTACAATATTTGCCACGAACAAAAAACAATCAAAGAAACAAACAAACAGACGTTGCGAACTAAATAAAAGCTTGTAAAAAGACGTTAGCTCATTATAATCTTTGAATGTGACCTGTCCTGACTGACAATGTCACGTGACCTGTCCTGACTGGCCATGTCACGTGACCTGTCCTGACTGACCATGTCACGTGACCTGTCCTGACTGACCATGTCACGTGACATGTCGTAGCTAGACAGCTAGCAGGAACGTAACTTAGGAACATGCAAGGACAGCTACCATGAACTTACCGTGAAAAATTGTGAAAGTGACGAGGACAGCTACCATGAACTTACCGTGAAAACATGTGAAAGTGACGAGGACAGCTACCATCATGTGAAAGTGACGAGGACAGCTACCATGAACTTACCGTGAAAAATTGTGAAAGTGACGAGGACAGCAGGAACTTACATTGAAAACATGTGAAAGTGACGAGGACAGCTACCATGAACTTACCGTGAAGACATGTGAAAGTGACGAGGACAGCAGGAACTTACATTGAAAACATGTGAAAGTGACGAGGACAGCTACCATGAACTTACCGTGAAAAATTGTGAAAGTGACGAGGACAGCTAGCAAGAACTTACCGTGACAACATGTGAAAGTGAAGAGGACAGCAACAACTTACCGTGAAAACATGTGAAAGTGACGAGGACAGCAAGAACTTACCGTGAAAACATGTGAAAGTGACGAGGACAGCTACCATGAACTTACCGTGAAAACATGTGAAAGTGACGAGGACAGCTACCATGAACTTACCGTGAAAAATTGTGAAAGTGACGAGGACAGCAGGAACTTACATTGAAAACATGTGAAAGTGACGAGGACAGCTACCATGAACTTACCGTGAAGACATGTGAAAGTGACGAGGACAGCAGGAACTTACATTGAAAACATGTGAAAGTGACGAGGACAGCTACCATGAACTTACCGTGAAAAATTGTGAAAGTGACGAGGACAGCTAGCAAGAACTTACCGTGACAACATGTGAAAGTGAAGAGGACAGCAACAACTTACCGTGAAAACATGTGAAAGTGACGAGGACAGCAAGAACTTACCGTGAAAACATGTGAAAGTGACGAGGACAGCTACCATGAACTTACCGTGAAAAATTGTGAAAGTGACGAGGACAGCTAGCAGGAACTTACCGTGAAAACATGTGAAAGTGACGAGGACAGCAGGAACTTACCGTAAAAACATGTGAAAGTGACGAGGACAGCAACAACTTACCGTGAAAACATGTGAAAGTGGGGAGGACAGCTAGCAGGAACCTACCGTGAAAACATGTGAAAGTGACGAGGACAGCAGGAACTTACCGTAAAAACATGTGAAAGTGACGAGGACAGCTACCATGAACTTACCGTGAAAAATTGTGAAAGTGACGAGGACAGCTAGCAAGAACTTACCGTGACAACATGTGAAAGTGAAGAGGACAGCAACAACTTACCGTGAAAACATGTGAAAGTGACGAGGACAGCAAGAACTTACCGTGAAAACATGTGAAAGTGACGAGGACAGCTAGCGGGAACTTACCGTGAAAACATGTGAAAGTGACGAGGACAGCTAGCAGGAACTTACCGTGAAAACATGTGAAAGTGACGAGGACAGCAGGAACTTACCGTGAAAACATGTGAAAGTGACGAGGACAGGAGGAACTTACATTGAAAACATGTGAACGTGACGAGGACAGCAACAACTTACCGTGAAAAATTGTGAAAGTGACGAGGACAGCAGGAACTTACCGTGAAAACATGTGAAAGTGACGATGACAGCTAGCAGGAACTTATCGTAAAAACATGTGAAAGTGACGAGGACAGCAGGAACTTACCGTGAAAACATGTGAAAGTGACGAGGACAGCTAGCAAGAACTTACCGTGAAAACATGTGAAAGTGACGAGGACAGCAACAACTTACCGTGAAAACATGTGAAAGTGACGAGGACAGCTAGCAGGAACTTAGACTCCATGTTGTAGAATGTTGATTGCGTCACGTATTGCCAGTTAGTTGCCTTAAATAGGGTCGGGAGATTAGCAAGAAAATCAATGTAATCTCTGCAGCCATTTATTTCACTTTCTGATAACTCTGTCAACAGCAGCCTGTCATGCTTGGGCAAATATCAATCATTACATAATAGATTAAAACTGGCCGATACATACATGCATACATATAGATGTATTTAATATTAATTTAATACATTATTTCCTAATTTACTAGTTTACCTATTTTATTGCTAAGTTTATCAATTTTTAATGATAAAGCATAAGAGGTAGAAACAAAAAATCCCCAAACTCATTTAGAAAAAAAAAGTTTCCAAAGATGTTGAAACTTTAAAGGTTAATAAAATAAGTTTTATCATATTTTAAGGATATCTATTATCAATTTTGAATAAAAAAATTATAGCTATATCATTAAAATAATAATTAAGAGAAGCATTTGTGGTTGTTTTTAATAATTTACTTAGCACACACTTAGTACACAATTGTTTTAAAAAGAATTTTGAAAAACAATGCCCACATTGCACCAAACCTGATCTATTTGGGTGTTTTTTAACAAAACCACTGTCAAGGTACACGACAACAAATTAGTCTGGAATTCTGGAATAAAACACTTCATTGCCTTTTTCTTAGTTTTTGATTTGAGCCCTTAAAGCCAGAGGCGTAGCGACCCTTCCCGGCACCCGGGGACAAACTTTCGATTTGCACCCCCCCCCCCCCGTCAAGCTTTCGATTTGCATCCCCCCCCCCTTCAAACTTTCGATTTGCAACCTCCCCCCCCCCTCAAGATTTCGACTTGCACCCCTCCCCTCAACCTTTCAATATATTTTTCCAACCCATTTTGGCGCCCCCTAAAGTTGGCGCCCGGGGACATGTGTGTCCTCCCCGCCCCCCCCCTCGCTACGCCTCTGCTTAAAGCGGCCTGACCCCCCCCCCCGGTCAATATTTAGCTTGAGATGATTCATTTTGTAACTCGAAGAATCGGGAGCTATCTATCTATCTATCTATCTTCTATATACTACTAAAACTCAAGTTTTTTTTACATGTTTGAATATTTATATTTTGGTTTGTTTGTTTGTCCGTTTGGTTGCAGACAGACTGTTAATCACAAATTAATTTAAAGACGTTAATTAATTGATTGATTGATTTATTGGTAGATTAACCATATTAATTATAAAAGTTCAGAGCAATGACTTTACTTAGAGTGAATAGTGACGTCACTTAATTTATTTACTTTTTAAAACAACAATGGTGGCTTCCATTGATTCTAGAGGTACGGCAAAATCTCGGCCTAACCAAACCAGTCGTAAAATCTAGATAACTCTATCTAGATCTAGGTAATAATGAGTTTCTATACTAAACTATTTCAGACCTTCATTATTTTATATACATCTGGGATATGGTTATTTTGTGATGATAAGTGACAGACGTGATGTCATTTATGGATGACCCCCGAAACCCAAAGTTAACTAACTAGATAACGGGTAGTCTAGTATATTCTAAAACCAGCGGATGACAACAAAAAAAAAAAACCAAATGTTTAGATAAACCACATGTGGAGAGTGTGTGTGGTTGCTACAACATGAGGCCATATGTGGCCGTTCAAACAGCCAGATATATCCACACGTGGTTAATCGAGTTTTCAACTGTTTACATCTTGTATTTGTTTGTCTGTTGATTTCAACTATATTCCAATTTTTTAAATAAATCACACAAATATATGGGACAAGAGGATTAGGTTTTCGATTTGTTTATTGGCTGTATGTGGTCTTATGTATGAAACTATTTGAATAGTTTGCTTGCTGCTGTCATTGCTGTCATTACTGTCTTATGTACGAAACTTCTTGTACAGTTTGCTTGCTGACTGCTGTCCAAGTGTTGAACTACTTGCATGATATGCCAGCTGATATTTTTAAATTATCAAAGAGAAATGTGGGAAAGATCCGCCCATCTTTATCTATGGTTTATTGCCCCCGTCCATCACACTAATGCCAGCTTTAAGGCCCAGCTTTGAGTGAGTATCTGATTCATGCTGTGGCTTTCAAGTGCAACTGATGACCCATCATTGTACGAAATAGGACATTATATATATATATATATATATATATATATATATATATATATATATATATATATATATATATATATATATATATATATATATATATATATATATATATATATATGTATATATACACACAGATAAACATATATATATATATATATATATATATATATATATATATATATATATATATATATATATATATATATATATATATATATATATATATATATATATATCTGTGTGTCTTTGTGTATTGTGTAACAGTCGAGTTTGTAGTTTGCAGTAACCCAAATTGACTTTGAATGGAAGTGTTTGCTAGTTCTGATCTCCATTACAGTCAAAATCACTTCTGTTTACACCCCAAGGTATTTGTCTCTTCAATGTCAAATCTTGGATGCTGACGTCACTTACAAACGTCTCGATAGATGGTATCTTGAAATCAATCAAATGCGATATAAAATTGTTCCCTTGTGGTGATTCAGACTGGGTCTATATTATTATAAACATTACTGGGGATTAACTCTCTTAGATCTGCATAATGCTGAGCTATGCTGAACAATTCATGTCAGACATTTGAAGTTATTTGTTTTCCAAAGAAACAGCTGCTCCAATGTTTGAGCAACCCCCCCCCCCCCCCACTCGCCCCGCCCCACTTTGGCCAGCTGGTGAAACGAAGGAAATCTTGCCGAATGCCTAGATAATGTAGGCAACAGGGCAGCTGGTGGTAGTGGTGTAAGCTGGGGTTCTAGGGTTCTAGTGTGTTCTAGGATGTCAACTTCAATGCTTTCAGACGTATATATATATATATATATATATATATATATATATATATATATATATATATATATATACGTCATCATTTTTTTCCTATTTGTGCCGAAGACTCATGGTGCAGATGGAGTAGAGTTCATCTGTTCCAATTACTTCGTTATACGAGGGGTAGTGTGGTCAGCACTAATATATTCTAATTTTAAATCATGGAGGATTCTACATCCCTAAATAAACATGTGATATGCTAAACATATGGTAGTTGTTCTGATATTTAGCCTAATTATAAGTGTCGCGGTATTTCTATGGGAAACAACCAATGAAATACCGACCACAGAACACTCCAACAAGAGTTAAAGGGGATTGGGAACAAAATAGAACGTCTCTGCTCTGGGCATTACAATACATCTATAGCAATAGATGTATTGCTGCTCTTGGATGTCATGTTTGTTGAGTTTCGGGATTTGGTCGGCGTATCTCTAGGTTTTAAATCACTCAAACTAAATGTTCTATCTGCTGTTCGTCTTCTGGTTATCGCCATTGAGGCCATTGACTCCGATTTCAGCCTGCTTTTCTTTTTTGGATTTGTCCAACCAAGAACAAACTCCAAGGCAGCAGTTTGGTATTGGAGTTGTCTCTCTTAGAAGAGTGGCTGTCCCCAGCTAACGAGCCTCATCTGCCAGAGGGTTCAAACTCGAGACTTTTCGGTTTAGCAACCATGAGCTTTACCGCCGACTCGAACCCTTTCTCACCTGTATTGTGTGACAAACTTCACCTGGTTGCCCCCCCCCCCCCCACACACACAAACACTGATTTAAAAATCTTGTTGATGCCCCTTTTTTTTCAGTGTAATTAAACGATGTCATTTACAAATGTAGTTGTTTCTCCTATGATATGATTTTTTAAAATGTAATTGTCATTTATGCATCGGGCCCTGTGATTTCTGTGTTAAATGTTTAGCCTCTCCTGATATTATTACAGAAAAATTCGAATAAAGTCGATGTATTATTTAGTTTATTTTATTAATCATAAATGGAAATTAAAACATTCAATTTAAAATTAGATAATTCAGCTTACATATTTTAAATAAGTAGCTTCACGTTTTGAAAGTATTTAGGTCACATATTTAAAGTAATAAAGGTCACGTGTTTTAAATTAAACCAGATACCATATTTTGTCAACCCATAATATCAACCCACTGTGTCAACCCACTGTGTCAACCCACTGTGTCAACCCACTGTAGCAACACCCTGTATCAACCCACTGTATCAACCCACTGTATCAACCCCCTGTAGCAACACCCTGTATCAACCCACTGTATCAACCCACTGTATCAACCCACTGTGTCAACCCACTGTAACAACTTACTGTATCAACCCACTGTCAACCCACTGTATCAACCCACTGTATCAACCCCCTGTTTCTGCAGCCATTTAGTTCGCCAAAAAGATTATTAGAAATGTGCGTCAGCGGATATCCAAGAAGTCAGCATGAAAGTCCGTGTTGACAGTATTTAACTAAGCGAGACAGTACCCAGCAATACAAGTAAACATTATCACAATGGTTTCAAATTTGACCTTAAGGAAATTACTCCATAGAATCGGAAATAAATAGTTAAAAAAATATTGTATCGAGTTTTCAGTTACTAGAGGCGCAATATATTCAAGCTGCTCATTAACCTTAAGCTAATGAATGCAGGTGTGAGAGGTTCAGTTGTTACACGAGCAGCCACACGTGGCGATCTTGGTCCTGTACTTCCTCTTGTCCGCACACAATTTGTTGCACTCGGAGCTGGAGCAGTTGGGTTTACACTCACACACGTCACAGCCCAGACTGTTCTTTTTGTTTCCTGCCGGACAACTGCCAAACTCACACCGGATGTCCGGGCACTTGGTGGGCACGCATGCGCATATAGGACAGTTGTTATCATCCTTCAGATAGCCTTGCTCACACAGTAGAGGGCATTTATCTTTGCTGATTTCTCGGCAGGGGGCGGAGTTACAGATGCATGTTGGGCAGTTGTTGGCGTCCAGCCTTAAGCCGTACATGCATTTGACGGGTGGACAAGCACGCTCCGGACATTTACATTTGCAGATAGGGCAGCCGTTGGTGTCTTTCTCTAGTCCGGAGCCGCAGGTTAGGTCACAGTTCACATATTTGCATGCCGGCTTGCATACAATGCCTAGAACAAGAGAAACAATACATAAATCAGCGTTGGGGATTTAGTCTACAGATGTGTTGCATGGCTAAATACAGTATAATATGTGATCATGGGGCTCTAGTCAAACATATGGAACCATAACAGGTGGGTTCTAGCCAAACATATGGAACCATAACAGGTGGGTTGTAGCCTAACATATGGAACCATAACAGGTGGGTTGTAGCCTAACATATGGAACCATAACACATCACGCGGTCAAAGTTCAGAGTAAAACATTACTAGTCATTACTAAAATCAATGACCGATAAAAAACTTACTTCGGCGCCCCACGTTTTTCATTTTTTGTCATAATGCGCACGCAGTTTGCGATCACTTATAGTAGAGTGATCGCTTGCATTATTGTGATGTATAGCATTTATTTTCTAACTTTTATTTCAATCAGAAAACGTGGGTTTTTAAAAAAAAAAATTATGATAATTATTTACGAGATAAGGTTACTGACCGTAGTAATTTTTTACGAGATAAGATAAATGGATTAAAAATAGAATAACGTACAGATGCTCGAATCACTGACCAATCACTGCTTGTAAGTTTTGGTCGATGTTTCGGATGACTAACCAATCACTGTTCGTAAGTTTTGGTCGATGTTTCGAATCAAAAGCGAATAAGTCCCTACGACGGGAGAATTACTTGAACGAAAACCTATCAAGTCCCTACCACGGAGCGATGGTTGAAGGAGTGGACTGAGCCAAGAGGAAGCTGGTCTAAAGGTCCTGTGAGAGGTTTGTCTAGAGGTCCTGTGAGATGCTGGTCTAGAGGTCCTGTGAGAAGTTTGTCTAGAGGTCCTGTGAGAAGCTGGTCTAGAGGTCATGTGAGAAGCTGGTCTAGAGGTCATGTGAGAGGTTTGTCTATAGGTCCTGTGAGAAGCTGGTCTAGAGGTCATGTGAGAAGCTGGTCTAGAGGTCCTGTGAGAAGCTGGTCTAGAGGTCCTGTGAGAGGTTTGTCTAGAGGTCCTGTGAGAAGCTGGTCTAGAGGTCATGTGAGAAGCTGGTCTAGAGGTCCTGTGAGAAGCTGGTCTAGAGGTCCTGTGAGAGGTTTGTCTATAGGTCCTGTGAGAAGCTGGTCTAGAGGTCCTGTGAGAGGTTTGTCTAGAGGTCCTGTGAGATGCTGGTCTAGAGGTCCTGTGAGAAGCTGGTCTATAGGTCCTGTGAGAAGCTGGTCTAGAGGTCCTGTGAGAGGTTTGTCTAGAGGTCCTGTGAGAAGCTGGTCTAGAGGTCCTGTGAGAGGTTTGTCTAGAGGTCCTGTGAGAAGCTGGTCTAGAGGTCCTGTGAGAAGCTGGTCTAGAGGTCCTGTGAGAGGTTTGTCTAGAGGTCCTGTGAGAAGCTGGTCTAGAGGTCCTGTGACAGGTTTGTCTATAGGTCCTGTGAGAGGCTGGTCTAGAGGTCCTGTGAGAAGCTGGTCTAGAGGTCCTGTGAGAAGCTGGTCTAGAGGTCCTGTGAGAGGTTTGTCTAGAGGTCCTGTGAGAGGTTTGTCTAGAGGTCCTGTGAGAAGTTTGTCTATAGGTCCTGTGAGAAGTTTGTCTAGAGGTCCTGTGAGAGGCTGGTCTAGAGGTCCTGTGAGAAGCTGGTCTAGAGGTCCTGTGAGAAGCTGGTCTAGAGGTCCTGTGAGAGGCTGGTCTAGAGGTCCTGTGAGAAGCTGGTCTAGAGGTCCTGTGAGAGGTTTGTCTAGAGGTCCTGTGAGAAGATGGTCTAGAGGTCCTGTGAGAGGCTGGTCTATAGGTTCTGTGAGAAGCTGGTCTAGAGGTCCTGTGAGAAAACTTACCGTTGAACAAAAGCGCGAAAACCAGGACAGCTAGCAGACGAGACTCCATGGCGTCGAGTGGATGATTGTCGGGATTATCCCCTGTTAGAGGCCTTAAATAGTTGGGTAAACGGACATGAGATTAACGGGAAAATCAATTTGTTTTGATTCACGGCTGCGATTGTGTCAACAAAGTTTAATAGGTGTGGCCAAATCTTAAGCACTTTAAACTCTGTAATTGTAAAAATAAAACCACAGCTAATCGTGTAAATATGCAACTAAGGCCTAGCTAATTGTCGCAGTTATAAAGGTCGTGACACCCCCACCAGAACCCCCACCCCCTAGCAAAACGTCACCACTTTCATTATTGCCTGCTACAAAGCCCTCAACAGATGGCGATTTTTTCTTTTCAGTTTCAGAACATTAGAGAAAAATGACGAGAGGAAAAACAAAGGACTGAGACAGACTTTAGGTTAAGACAGACATTAGGCCGAGACAGACATTAAGCTGATACATTAGGCCTTGATATTAACTTAAAATTACCCCATACATATTTTTGCAATCTTGTCCGTATGTCTGTTTGTATGTGTGTGTGTGTGTGTGTCTGTAAACACGATAACGTGAGTAACGTTACAGTTAGGTTGATGAAATTTCATATATAAGTATTTTATCAAAATCGTAGATCCGTATCAACTTTTGAGCGATTTCCGATAACCGGAAGTGGTACTTTTTACTTTGAATTTTTCAAAAGCCTATAACTTGAGTATTATTTCAGATAGATAAATGAAATTTCACATGTAAGTAAAAGATCTAATCCTCTACCTTCTATCAAATTTTTAGTAATTTCCGTCACATATTAGTTTGTTGTGTAAATTAAATTTTGATATATTTACCAGAAGGAAAGTGGAAAGAAGAATGTTATAGTAAACCATAATGATTTATAGTAAGCTTCTTTTTTATAATCAAACAAATCATATTTACTGATTTGTGCGATTTTGTGTGTGTGTTAACTTTTATGATTTTGAATTGGACTTTAATTAAATGTATGATTTTTACTTTCTCGTATACGAAGTATAGAGAAAGTATTGTAATCCTGCAAAAAAAAAATAAAAAAAAATAATCGAGATTTTTGAAAATCTCGACGTTTTACACCTCCCTGAGTCGGAAAACCATAGTTTGCAATCTTGTCCGTATGTCTGTGTGTGTGGGTATGTGTGTCTATACGAGAAAGTAAAAATCACAATATTATACAAACTGGCCACCAGACTTTGTCACAAGTCACATGACCAGCCACCAGATCTTGTATCACGTCACGTGACCAGCCACCATTGTATCAAGTCACGTGACCAGCCACCATTGTATCAAGTCACGTGACCAGTCACCATTGTATCAAGTCGCGTGACCAGCCACCATTGTATCAAGTCACGTGACCAGTCACCATTGTATCAAGTCTTGTGACCAGCCACTGCATCAAGTCACGTGACCAGCCACTGTATCAAGTCACGTGACCAGCCACTGTATCAAGTCACGTGACCAGCCACCATTGTATACAATCACGTGACCAGCCACTGTATCAAGTCACGTGACCAGCCACTGTATCAAGTCACGTGACCAGCCACCATTGTATCAAGTCACATGACCAGCCACCATTGTATCAAGTCACGTGACCAGCCACCATTGTATCAAGTCACGTGACCAGTCACTGTATCAAGTCACATGACCAGCCACCACTGTATCAAGTCACGTGACCAGCCACTGTATCAAGTCACGTGACCAGCCACTGTATCAAGTCACGTGACTAGCCACTGTATCAAGTCACGTGACCAGCCACTGTATCAAGTCACGTGACCAGCCACTGTATCAAGTCACGTGAGCAGCCACTGTATCAAATCACGTGTGCAGACAGAACAACACAGCAGCAGTGGGGGTGTCCGACAATAACATTTTGTTGTCTTGTTTATTTGAATACATTAACGACTTAAAGTAAGAGGATTTAAGTTCCACAATCTAATGGGCTTTCGATTTTCGTTTTTTAAGGCTGTCAACACAGTCAACAGGTCTCTCAAACCTTTAGCTCGACAACCAGCTGTTAACAAGCTCGTTGTGTCGTTACGTGTAACAGTTGCAGGTGGGGCGTGTCCAGGTGTGTCATTACATTGTGACGACATGTCATTACATTGTGACTACATGTCATTACATTGTGACGACATGTCATTACATTGTGACGACATGTCATTACATTGTGACTACATGTCATTATGTTGTGACGACATGTCATTACGTTGTGACTACATGTCATTACATTGTGACTACATGTCATTACATTTTGACATGTCATTACATTGTGACTACATGTCATTATGTTGTGACGACACGTCATTACGTTGTGACTACAAGTCATTACATTGTGACTACATGTCATTACATTGTGACTACATGTCATTATGTTGTGACGACATGTCATTACATTGTGACGACATGTCATTACATTGTGACGACATGTCATTATGTTTTGACGACATGTCATTATGTTTTGACGACATGTCATTACACTGTGACTACATGTCATTACATTGTGACTACATGTCATTATGTTGTGAATTGTAATTACATTGGGACTACATGTCATTATATACTGTGATGACATGTCATTACATTGTGACTACATGTCATTACATGGTGTGTGGGCCTACTGAACATGTCATTACATGGTGTGTGGGCCTATATTGTTGTGACATGTCATTACATTGTGACATGTCATTACATTGTGACTACATGTCATTACATGCTGTGTGGCTTACTGAACATGTCATTACATGGTGTGTGGGCCTATATTGTAAAGTACCCTAAGGAACCACAAGTTACATGGTGCAGATGTATAAATAATAAAGTACGTTGTCTGACTGATATTTGTATGATGTGTCTTTGCTTGCTGGGTAAGCCTACAGTAATTTCTTACAATAAAATGTACTATTGTCACAAACATGAATGTGCAATGGTCGCAGAAATTATTCATTGATCAAAGTAAGATAATGGTTGTTACAAAAAAATCAATCAAAATATAATTGAAACCAAATTTCATTTTTTGAAATGTAATAACCAGAGCTCCTTTTTTTAAAATTTAAATCAGATTATAAATATTTTAAAAAAGATTTCTGTGGATTAGCGCTCATTTTTTAATTCAGTTCTGCTTCACAATTTGTCAAACTACTGGTTTTTTTCTACAACAGCTGGTGAAATATTTGAACGAAATAACATGTTTGATGATCAACCAGAACACGCAGAATAGCTCATGCAGTCGACACATTGGCATTTGGCCAAATGTCATGACATACCCCATGTCATCGACACACTGGCATTTGGCCAAATCTCATGACATACCCCATGTCGGCGTCACACTGGCATTTGGCCAAATGTCAGAAGACATAACAGACACATGCTGTAGAACCATACACTGTTATTAGGCCAAAACGCAGTGAAGCATTAAAACAATAATTGTTGAAACAGTATTTCAAATTTGTCTTGTTGATGGGGATCAACTCAACCATTAAAGGGTTAACTCATATTTTCTAGAGCTTCCATAAAGACAAATTTTAAATACTCCAAAGTTAACACTAACAAAGCTAACATTAACAAAGTTAACACCAACAAAGTTAACAGTAACATTAAGTTAACACCAAAAAAAGTTAACACTAACAAAGAAGCAATGATTGAATTAGTTTTTAAATATTTATTGTAAAAAATGTACACACTGCAACAGGAGACAGTAATCACTTCTTGAAAAATTTGCTATAGTCATCCACACTAAACGTTTCTTCAAAGTCCTCGAACACTTCCAGTTTTTGCTTGGGCTTCCTCCTGGCTAGAACAAGTTTTTTCTCAGTGTCAGAAAGTTTGGAGATATCCAGGGGGAGCTGAAAATTTGGACATTTTTGTTTCAAAGATTTACAACAAAACATCACCAACTTACAACCAACACAAAATGTTTTAACCAAACATCAACAACTTACAACCAACACAAAATATTTTAACCAAACATCATCAACTTACAACCGACACAGAATATTTTAACCAAACATCACCAACTTACAACCGACACAAAATATTTTAAACAAACATCACCAACTTACAACCAACACAAAATATTTTAACCAAACATCACCAACTTACAACCAACACAAAATATTTTAACCAAACATCACCTGCCCACAACCAACACAAAATATTTTTAAACGAAACATCACCAACTTACAACCAACACAAAATATTTTAACCAAACATCACCAACTTACAACCGACACAAAATATTTTAACCAAAGTTCACCAACTTACAACCGACACAAAATATTTTAACCAAACATCACCAACTTACAACCGACACAGAATATTTTAACCAAACATCACCAACTTACAACCGACACAAAATATTTTAACCAAACATCACCAACTTACAACCAACACAAAATATTTTGAAGCAAGTTTCACCAGCTGATACCAACACAAAATATTTTAATTACCCGCTACTGGTACATTGTGTTACCTAAACTTGATACACCTGCTCATTTATTAAACTATACTACAAACAATAGACTGCTAACTCAATGGTAATTTAAACTTATCTATAACTCTAATTTTAAACTTAATTAAAGCATTCTAAAATTAGCCTATCTCTAAACTGTCTGCCCTGTAAATGTGATAAAGGGAAGATTGAACAAGACCGAAGTGCAGGAGTAAACATGACCAAATAAATGTCGTATAAATAAATCAGTACAGTTTAGCCTGTATATTATGCTAATTCTTACCTTAATGATTCGTCGAGGTTCTTTGTATCTAATATTTATGGTGCTACCATCAGGAAATACAAGCAGTGTTGGGTATGTCCTTGGATAACATATTCTATGAGCACGTGTGATACAAGCAGCATTAGAACTATTCCTCACAAAGTTAGTTAGCACAGGTAAACAGTTCCGGCATGAAGTAAACACTCTGTGGGGAAGTAGGTTGGTACTTTTAAATGGGAGAAAAAAGATTTCGATTTTAAATATAATAGCAAACCTTTATTTTTCAAATTTCCATTAAAATTTAAAGTGAAGGAAGTTGAATTTTTTTTTTTTTTGTGGTTGCTGTTTGTTAAAATATTCTTGAGGTTCGCCTAAAAAATGGAATTTTGAAAAACATTTTACGAATAAGTTAAATGCAATAAAAGAATCCAGTACACTTTAGGGAGGATATCTACCCAGCTTTAATGATGCCTCGCTATGTTGATCACAACAGGTTTAAATGTTAATCTTGATAAAAAGTTAGGTTTCATAATCATTTTTTTAAATTTTTTTTTTTAAAGTTTCCTTTAAGACCTGGCTGATGAAGTAGAGTTCACCTGTTTCTGTGACATCAGCAAATTTAGGAATAGTGTGGTCAGTACTACACCCAGCTACCTGTACTTTCCCTTATGTGAGGCAGGTAAACGTTAGAGATGAGTGGACTCAGGGACATCATACAGACTCAAACCTAAGACATGAAATACACTTTCATGTTAAGTTTAACTGAGGCTTACTTTAAAATACTTTAAATTGATGTTTCTTTCTTCAAATTTCTGAAACTTCAAATATGTTTTATATAGTTAAAAATTATGTATGTTGATAAACATTTAGACATAAATGTTGTGACTAAAATTTTATCTCTTATTTCCTATTCCATTCATTTTCCCCACTTTCAATCACACATTAACACAGCATTTTTAGGCTGCATAAATTTAATAATAATTATTAGCCTATTTTACTATTTAAAATGAAAACCTATAATTCATGTGGTTTAGAACCACATGACAGCATAAGAGTGGACTGAATACATTTCAAGAAAAAAAAAAAAAAGAAAAGTTCAAACTTTCCATGAAGTACAATGGCATCCCCTTCTGTTTTTTAGTTATTAATTTGAGATCAACCCCCCCCCCCCCCCTGGAGAAAAATGTCTGAAAGAACGAAATGTCTATTCACAGTCGACTGTGAATAATAGCTGTAGTATTGGGGCTATTCACAGTCGGCTGGGAATAGCCTTGGCCCTGAAAGAAATATTGGGCGCATTTGTTGATCATACAGACTAGCTGGAGGTAGACCCCACACATCTATAATAATAATATAGACCCGTTTTCTTTATTTTAGGTCGTTAAACCTCAATGAGACTTATTTTGATATTTTGCTCGCTCGAGGGGGATTGGGGGGGGGGGGCATTTGAAGTTTTCTGGGGGGTTGATTAAACTCCTGGAGGGGGGGGGGGCTTTGACTTTTGAGAAAAGGACAAAACTATCCACCTTTCGCACGTTGTATTTTTCCCTCAACGGGCCATTTAATGCTATTAAAATCTTCCCATTAGGATTATATTCTTGGCATTTTAGTACTGACCTGTTCATATGTATCAAGGAGGACGCCATTTTTACACTAATATTTTGTAAGTGATTTCCCTTTGTGAAAGTCACATTACTAAGTTGTCATGTGACTAAAATTAAATTGGTCAATTTATAAACACAAGCCATGGTGAAACAAAGAACTACAGCTGCTACGACTCTTACAATTTGTTTATAAAGAATAATTAAAGTAAGGTATTTTTTTTTACTTAGGTCTACTTACGTAACTCATTATTTCTTTGACATATTTTATAGATCTAGCTAGCTTTGGTCGAATATACGTAACTAAAAGTACCAACACACTCACACTGGTACTACTAACTAAGTTATTACTTATTTATTACTAAGTTATTAGATTCTACTTAATACTTACTTAAGTTAATAAGTTTTACTTAACTAATAAAATAATAACTACTAAACTAGTATTAACTAATCAGGCGTAACTTCGAACTTCAAAGTTTACTTCTTACTAATACTAGATTCTAGATCTAGATTCTCTAGATCTTAGATCTAGGCCTAGGCCCTATATTAAATATTTTACTAACTTGAAGTGTAACTTTACACTTAACTTGACCGTGTCAGAGTTGGCGTAACCCTACACTACAGACTACAGATTAGTAATCATTTGACAAGTTAGTAGGCCTAATTATTATTAATTAAGTAATTAGTAAGTTTAGGCCTATTTTTTTATTACTTTCATATTAATTATTAGGCTACTATAGGCCCTATAGTAATTAATTAATAATTAGTAGGGCCTAGGCCTATTACTATTACTTATCTTATTTATCTAGTAACTAGGCCTACTTACTAAGAAGTCATCCATAAATTACGTCATGCTTTTTTTGACGATTTTTACCTCCCCCCTCCACTGTCACACGTCATTACAAAATCTTGTCTGAAATCTGTCAAAATAGAGTATTTTAATCAATTCCTATTATAATTTATTAAAACTGTTTTCTAAAACGCTAAATAATGTCCAAAATTCGTTTTCTAACATTTCTTATCTTTTAAGCAAAAGTGTGACATCAAACCGTCTGAACCCCCCCCCCCCCCCCCCCTCATCGCATAGTGTCACAAAATTACCGACCCCCCCCCTCCCCCCTACGAGTGTGACGTCATTTATGGACGACCCCTAACTTTCAATTATTAACTTACATCATGCCATCATGCATGACCATGGGTGTTGGGAAATTAATTATACTTAGGCCTAACTAGTAACTACGACAGACTACATAATTAATTACATATTATAGGGCCTAATGATTATTATACATCATCTAGTACTAGATCTAGTGAACATTTTTATAGATCTAGGCCTAATCATAAAGAAAAGATTGATTCTTTTTTAGTAGATATCTGTCTTTAGTTAAGTAAAAATATTATCTAACTAGGTGGAATCTTAGAATACTGAGCTTAAATTTGCGAAAGCAAGTCAAGCAACTAAGAATCTAATTTATAAAATAAATAAAGCCTAAGCCTTACTTAATTTTTTTTTATAAATAGGCTTAATACTATGTTACTAACAGTAACAAGTTATGGCTATGGTGCTTAACTGTAGTCTGAGGATGTATTGTTGTAATTCTTACTAATACTAATAATACTGTTATGATTACAGTAGTACTAGATCTATACTAAGACTAAGGTCTAACTAATTAGAGATTAAATTATATTTATTAATAGTAGGCACTATATTTAAATACTACTAAAATACTATTTCTAAACTTTCTGTTTAATCAGGTATTTTCAAAAACTGGTTTTCAAGTTCCTATCAGAAAAATAGTGCAGTAGAGCAAGGTTTAAAATGTTTGTACATCTTCATCAGAGCAAGTTAATGGTTACATCAGTGCTGCTGATTGGGATCACCCTTTTCCAAGTAACTGCTGGTAAAATGTTTGCAATTTCTCTTCTTGTGAATTATATTTTCTAATAGAATAAAAAGACAATCTTTCAAACAGCAGATCTGTCCAGCAGACTCTGAAAAACACAGAAGCCTTTTACATTCAATAGCTCAGAACAGCCCTTGAAAAGTTAAGCACTATTAGCAGCAAGCCACACCCAGATACAAGAAAATGAGATCACAGACCAGCTTGCTAAAATAGTTTTAATAAAACCCAGAAATTTCAATACATCCATAAGAAATATAAAGAATAATAAATAGGAAACAATTTCAATAAGAATACATAATACACATAATACAAATTAACATGTCAAAAACAAGTTGGTCCTAGCAAAACCTTCCTTAAGGAGTGGACCCAAAGAGCACAGAACACGTCCTACAGCATATAGGTACAAATGCTGTGTAGACTCTGGCCCTAATATGCCCCAAAAAATTGTATGGGGAGTCACAAATCTGGAGATGACCAAGCAGTTTGTCAACAAAGTTGGTCTTGTTGTTTGATTCTTCTAATAAATAAATAATGTTAAGAATGGCTGAGAAGAAGAAAAGAAGGAGCTGGGATGTGGAGGACAGGCTATGTAAAATTGTTCTTTATTTCTAAGAGCTGGAATGGGCTGACTCTCAATGGGCTTGTCATGCCTGGCAGAACTTGCCTGTTGTAAAGCAGAACTTCACACACTCTTAAGAGGCTCTGATTTTAAGAATTTTTTTGACGTGAGCTGCTGTCTCAGTTCTTTAGAAGTTTCTGAAGTGATGGTCTTGTCTATATCCATAATTTTGGTCATCTTCATTAACACCAAAAAGATTAACCCTTTACTGCCTTAACTCTGATTTTTTTTAAGCCAACCAACGGATGTAAAATTAAAATGATACAGATAATTGTGCATTACTTTTAATTAAAAATTTTAAATGAAAAGGCGTAAAGTAGTTTTTTTTATTGCAGGTAAAAATGTGACAGCCAGCTTCTCCACTGACAGTATTGATCTTGAAATAGGAGAAAAAACAGAAGTTAACCTTTCTTTGAGGTAATTTTTTCCCATGCCAACATGCACAAAATACAAAGTATATCTCATAATGAAAATCAATGTAATAAACATGAGAGCACTACTGATATTCTTTTTCTACTACACAGTGAACCACTGACTTCAAGTGCTGTCATTTATTTTACATTTGATGATGAAGTATCCAATGATGGCTATATAATATTAAGCTCAGACAACATCAGCGTTGAAGCTAACAACTCAATGTCCTGGACTCTCAACATTACAGGAAAAAGTGCTGGACATGTTATACTCGGCATCAATTCATCTACACCAGAAATACTGAAGCAAGTCTTAGTTTGATCTCAACATACCATATTTAATTATGCAATTCTTAAGAATAATTTTTATATTTATGTAGAAATGTACGTTCATATGGCCGTTGCATATTTCAGGATCCACCAAACGTTTGTTCGTATTGATGTGGTTCACAATTCCGTGCTGGTGATCATCAATGCTGTGATTGGTTGGATTTATTTTGTGGCGTGGTCCGTTTCTTTCTACCCTCAAGTCTACATTAACTGGAAGAGAAAAAGGTGCTCAATGTGTGAGACAGTCATGGCTAGATTCAATAGTTTTAGTTTTATGGGGGGAGGGAGGGCGGGGCAAATGAATAAAACTGGTTATTTGTGAAATATGGTTTTGGGGTTCCACCACGTAAAAATGGTAACTGGGAATCTGGGTGAGATGACCTTCAGAATACAAATACAATGGGCTGGAGTTTAGTCTCTAGTGCTGGTCTAGCCTTGAGGAATACATTGTTCTGCAATATTTCTTACTTCAGCCAAATACTTGGCAGTGATCAGTAGGGAAATTAAGTGAATTTGTTGGAATGATTTAATGAAGTTATTCAATATTCTTGTTTGTCGCAGTGTATGCGAATAGCTAACAGGAAGAATTATTTTATAATTGCTTCTGTTATTGCTTTAAGTCTACATGTAACACTAGTTTTTTAAAAACTTAACTATTATAACACTTCTGATAAGTGAATATTTAAAACAATTATCATTTTTTTGCTATGTTCCACAGTGTGATTGGCCTGAACTTTGATTTCCTGTGTTACAATATAACTGGCTTTCTTGCTTATGGTTTTTTTAATGTTGGCATGTTCTGGGTTCAAACTGTCAAGGTAAGGGAGACAAGTTATAGAAATATATTTAGTTTTGAAAGTTAAAAAAACAGAACTTTAATAATTAAAAGCTGTTTTTTTAAATGACAAACATAACACAATTCTAGATTAATTCTCTACTTAAATTAAACTGTTCCAATTCATCCTGGCATGTCCCCTTTTTCTTCATACAGGACCAGTACTTTGATCTTCATCCCAGGGGCATTAACCCTGTACAATTGAATGATGTCATCTTCACTTTACATGCAATTTTTGTTACTATTCTCACCATACTACAGTGTATGCTTTATGATGTAAGTTGTATGATACAATATTTTCAAACATGTTCAGTTAAATTAATTTTGATCTCATTTAATGTAATCTTCTGTATACTGATGATTCTCACTTGTTTTTTTAAGAGGTATATCAATGTGGATTGGGGGTGGGGGGGGGGGGGGGTGAGGTGTCACAGAAGGGCAATGAACTGCTGTCATCAAATATTTGTTTACTTCTGTTTCCTAGAGGGGCAGTCAACGCGTGTCAAAGATTTGTATCATTTTGGTCGTGGGGGCGTGGCTGTTTGCTGGCTCAGCCCTTGTTGTGACCCTGACCCACAAAATCACCTGGCTCACCTACCTGTACTACTTCTCCTACATCAAGCTGGGCGTCACCTTGATCAAATATATTCCACAGGTAAGTCTTTTTTTTACCTTCATTGATTTTGCATTAGCTCTAAATGTATGATCACATTCAGACATTATAAAGCGATGAAAAATTTTAAAACTTATGAAGAGGGCTGTACTGAATGATCAAGCTACTTTATTCAGCTTGCATCATTTTCTAGCATGACGTAACATTTTCCCCAAGCGTACATGAATATCTAGCATGACGTTACATTTTCCTCAGGCATACATGATTTTCTAACATGACGTAACATTTTCCTCAAGCGTACATGAATTTTTAGCATGACGTAACATTTTCCTCAGGCGTACATGAATTTCCGCCGTAAGAGCACAGATGGCTGGAGCATTGGAAATGTTTTGCTAGATTTCACTGGCGGCTCCCTCAGCTTGCTGCAGATGTTCCTGCTCTCCTATAACAGCGGTAAATATCTACCATGTGCCGTCTGCATGCTTCACTAACATCTTTTGGCGGGATTGGTTTTTTCTTACTAATCAGATTTCAGTTTTTGGTTTAAATTTTTTATTATAAGAAATTGTTTTTTCTTACTAACCAGATTTAATTATTTTAAGGGGATTGATTTTTTTTTACTCACAATTTTTACTAACCATCTTAATGTAATGTTTATTTTTTAATTTTTTAACGCATGCTATTGTTTTGTTTTTGTTTCCTCTATTTGCTAGATGATTGGGGCTCAATTTTTGGCGACCCAACAAAATTTGGCCTTGGAGTTTTCTCCATCCTCTTTGACATAGTGTTTATAGTTCAGCATTATTGCTTATACAGAGGAAAAGATTCTTATGAGGAAATCGGAGAATACGATTATCGTGTGAACTTCAGTGAACTTGGCAGTCCCCGCTTTTAGATTAGTCAGCTGAATTGTTCACCCTTCTTTTCCCACTGACATTTCCCATCCCCCTACACCTTCCCCCTTTTCCTAATTACACATGATATTTATTTTATTCAATTCACTTTAATGTGCGACTGTTTTTTTCTCTCCTCCAGATGACTGGGGCTCAATATTTGGAGACCCAACCAAATTTGGTCTCGGAGTGTTCTCTATCCTGTTTGATATTCTGTTTATTGTGCAGCATTACTGCTTGTATGGAAACAAAAACCCATATGAGCCAATGGCAAGTGAAATTATTGTTAGCAAGGATGGCGCCCAGTATCAAAATTATGGCTCCAGCCTCAACAGTGAAGATGATAACTCACAGCCATATATTTACTGAGTTGCTGTTTTGTGTGGGCTGCATGTGTGGTGTAGTGTAAAAGCTGATCTATCTTAAGAACGTGTTGAGTATGTTTATCAAAGTAGTAATTATCTCCTTCTAAACAATGTTTCTAAAGGTTCTCAGAAAAATTTGCATCAGAAAACTGTGTAAAATAAAACTGTGCTAATCCAAACAAACTATATTAATACACTTCAATTTTGTCATATTTCGTGGAGAAATGTTTTATTATGCAATAATGTACATGCATTAATTATTTGCTAAAGTCTATAAATGATAGATTTAAACAAAATGAATTCCTTTGCACACATTTGTGTACACAGTTTTCAGTTGCTTATTTTTCTGTTTACACATCTTTCTGGTCACCAAGGGTCAGTTTGTTGTTAGGAGATGTTAGAGTGACCAACATTCACTGATTATTTATTAGGACTCACCTGACTGGTGGCTAGGCCTCACCTGACTAGTGGCTAGGCCTCACCTGACTGGTGGCTAGGCCTCACCTGACTGGTGGCCTCACTTGACTGGTGGCTAGGCCTCACCTGACTGGTGGCTAGGCCTCACCTGACTGGTGGCCAGGCCTCACCTGACTGGTGGCTAGGCCTCACCTGACTGGTGGCCTCACCTGACTGGTGGCCTCACCTGACTGGTGGCCTCACCTGACTGGTGGCTAGGCCTCACCTGACTGGTGGCTAGGCCTCACCTGACTGGTGGCCTCACTTGACTGGTGGCTAGGCCTCACCTGACTGGTGGCTAGGCCTCACCTGACTGGTGGCCAGGCCGCACCTGACTGGTGGCTAGGCCGCACCTGACTGGTGGCCAGGCCTCACCTGACTGGTGGCCAGGCCTCATCTGACTGGTGGCTAGGCCTCACTAGGCCTCACCTGACTGGTAGCTAGGCCTCACCTGATGCATGGGTGTCAAATATTGAATGAGCTGACATGTTGGTGACATCTGTACTGAACTAAATGAAAGAATGATAAAAGTTTGGATATTTTGTTTGGTGTATCAGTTGTACTTTATTTTGTATGGCAGAATCATTTTTTTAAATGTGTGTTCTCTTGAGTTGGAGCCATTGGTTGGCTGATAAGTAAACTTGGATTAGAAAGCTGTACTAACAAAAACAAACTTAATGTTTAGTTGTTAAATTTGTAACATGTATATTTGTTGTTCTTTTGTAACTGTTCTGCAATGTTAAGCTAACTCTGTTTTAGATAAACAAAATATTCTGTGTAGATGATAAAACTGAATATTCTGTATACATGATAAAAATAAACCTGAATGTGATGGGCTTTCAATCAACATACGCAAATGGCTCCTGTTTACGAGGAATCTTGTTTGTATATATGAATATGTTTTTTGCCGGTTTTATATGTATCCATTTTTTTCTGAAACGTTATGTAAATATAAGATGTAGATATGCAGCAGTAGAGATTATTTACAAACATCTTGTCCAGTAGAGATGGTTTACAAACATCTCTTTCCTGTTATATTGGTTGGCAGTTGAGTTAAAAGCACAATTTTAAAATGTTGAATATTCTGTGTTAACTGAAGCACAAACTTAAGTTTTTAAGCACCGGTTTGTACGTGCAAACAATATGTGATTATAATGTGCAATATGATGGAACATATTGTTTTATTTTCATTGAACAAACCTGTTACTCAATGTTTGAACAAATGGTGATGTATATATATAAACTGTCTAGATAGCTAGTTGAACAAATGATATAGGGCCCTCTGTTGTATGAAGAAGGAATAGTTGCACGAATGATTTCAATAGCAGGCTTAGTTGAGCAAGGTAGGATATTCAAAAGTCTTGTGTAAATATCTTAATTGTTTTGTTTTTACAGAGAGAAATTTAAATAAATGTTGGCATTTAATATTTTTTGCTTTTTTTTATTTTATTTTGGTCAGATAGTTTTGACAAGAGTTCTACCTGTATATATAGCTGCTACAGTAATATAGCTGCTACTAAGTGGCTTAATGTAAATAATAAATGTTTGAATGCACCACACCTGTGTTTTATCCTTCTTCATGTTGGTAGAAATGTGACGTTTTTATTTTGTGATTGCTTTGTATTAACTAACTAGCAACAAACAACCCAAAGATAGAAATTGACCCATAAAATAAATCCAGGGTTGTTTTTTTTAAACAACTAGTAGTGTAGCCTGCATCTATAATTTTTTTTAGCGCAATTTCCATTCTGGAGAATTGCGTTTATTAACTCGTCTTTTCTGGGAATGGATGGATGTGTGTCCGCAGCTTTAAGTCGTATCTCCTCCTCAACGAAGCAATATCGATGAATAGTTCCAAAAGCAATTATGTTAAGCAAGTTACGAGGATGAACATAGGCCATAAAAATTCCGGGTTTCTTTCATGGATTTCCCGGAAAAGCCAAAAAAACTCGAAAAAATGCAGTTGTTGGCCCATATCTCGGCAACCAGACCACTTAGCGACTTGAAACATGTACCAATCGATTCCTGCCATAATTTAGAACAATATTGCCGAAGAAAGTTTTCAAAAATATCCTTTCGTTTGGTCACAATTTTTTTTTTTTAATTAATTAAAATTTGGACCGAATTAGTAGGCATTTTATGCAACCACACCACACGCGTCATCACGTTCAATAGCTGCGCCATCACGTTCAATGGCTGCGACGTCACGTTCGGTAGCTGGGCGCGCAATGGTTTTTAGTCATGTTACTCTATTGTAAATAAAACATGTAAAATACTGAAATTTTTAGCGCAATTTCCATTCTGGAGAATTGCGTTTATTAACTCGTCATTTCTGGGAATGGATGGATGGATGGATGAATGTGTGTCCGGGCTTTAAGTCGTATCTCCTCCTCAACGAAGCAATATCGATGAATAGTTCCAAAAGCAATTATGTTAAGCAAGTTACGAGAATGAGCATAGGCCATAAAAATTCCGGGTTTCTTTCATGTATTTCCCGGAAAAGCCAAAAAACCTCGAAAAAAATCAGTTTTTGGCCCATATCTCGGCAACCAGACCACTTAGCGACTTGAAACATGTACCAATCGATTCCTGTCATAATTTAGAACAATATTGCCGAAGAAAGTTTTCAAAAATATTCTCTCGTTCGGTCACAAATTTTAAAATTACATAAACACCTACAAACCGATTGTTCTTCTAGCTTGAACGCACCCCAACATTATACGTCAGAGCTATTTTTAGATAACATAAGGAAATTGCGCACAAATGTCACTAGACTTTTTTAATTAACTTGTTTTTAATAAAAGACGTTTTAATAACTAACCAATGGTTTTACTAACCCTGCTCTTGATTTACGCTACGACAGAGCTATTTTTAGATAACACAAGGAAATTGCGCTAAAATTGTCACTAGACTTTTTTTAATTACTTGTTTAAATAATATGATAAACCTTTATAATAATCTTCTTTTAAATGCACTAAAAAAAATTAAACTAATTTGCTTTTTTTGCTAAAAGCATTAACCAAATAAAGCTAAGTTTTATTTTCAGTGTATATAAAGTTTTTATTTTTTATTTTTGCTTAATTTTCCACTTTTTAGAAATCAATTCTAAATGAAGGTGACACCTCCTACGGCAAAAAAATATTTACCTAAAAACCCATAAGTAGTCTGTAAATCTGTAATCTCTAAAAGACAACTTATCCGCCCCTTCCTTAGTCCACGGTCGACCAAGGCAAATAACCCACTTGTCGGCGATTAAGTTCACCGTCGTAGGATAGCTGATCTAACAACCGCTAGGATTTAATCAATTTACCTCCCCTTTTAGTGTTGAATTGTTACCTTTTCATTAAAACTAACAAAAGTAATCGAAAGTCTATTTTAAAATATATAGGACTATTCTTGCATTGTCATCGAAGACATATGTATCTGGAAAGTTAGAACGAAATCGACGAAGTGGGTAATAATTGAGATACAAGATTAGTCTCAAACCGTCGTTGTGCAGTGAATAAAAGCTTATAAAAGTGTTAGCGTTTTTCTTTTTTAAATTGCTATGCTTTTTAATCTAATGATTAGGCATTTAAATATAAGATCTATTTTCATCCATTTTTATCCATTAAACATTGAAAGTGAAAAGAAAGGACTAAAAATTTAGGTATAATTTTCAAACGAATGTATATCTAATTGTATAATTCGATACTCTACCCAAAGCTAGAAAATCGACTTTAGTACTTGTGAATAGGAACTAGATCTAGTTTTTTTTTCTTTTTATTTATTGACTAGAACACGAAACAGCACCATTGTTGAAAGGCGTCATCCGTTTTGTTTTTAACAAAAAATACAGAGGGTAAAATCACCACAGTCATCTCATCTGATGTGTTTTATTTTATAGGGACCACGTGGCCAAGCAGAAATGATGCGTAAGTCAAGAAATGTGTGAAATTGTTTAAATAAGTGGTTCGTTTGTACGTTCTAATGTTACAGAATGTAGGCCAATCCGTCAAGAAAGTAGGCCTACAGACCTGGGCGGCGACCTTTTAATTTTAACGCCCCACACAAAGCGCGGGAGTAGACTTAAAAAATTAAACCATTCCAGAATACACCGACAGTGACATTCACGTAACTGTACAGCTGAAGTCACGTGACGCGACAGTAATGAACCATGACACAATCTGACCTGTTTTAAAATGTGTAGTCACGTGACGACGATAATGACACTATCAAACCTGTTTCGAAATGATCTCAACACATTCCTACGTGTTCACACAACCATTGTTTGCAAACATTAGCCACCGGTCCACAATGCAATGCTCAGTCGACACACGATCAAGTAACTAAAACCTATAATTACTTATTCTATTGTCTTCAAACCAAGCGTGCTGTGATGTTTTGTTCTACTTTTTTTCTACACTGAACTAGACTACTTTAATTATAGATTTTCAACCCACATAGATTGTATATAATACACACAAACGTTGTCTTCAGCTAGCTGTCAGGTTTATTAAAATATTGGATCAGATTTTCTGGATAAAACTTCGGGTAGACTAGAACCGTCTGTGTTGTGAAACTGTAGAATCGTGTGTTGACGTGTTTGGTTAGGATTGGACTAGACAGTTGTGTTCTCAATGTTTGGGTTGTGATTTTGTATCGTGTACTAGGCCATGGCTACGGGCGGGGCGCTGGCCCCCGAGGTGAGTAGTGTGTACCGCTCCAATCACACAGTCATGCACAGCCTCGCTATAGACTACACGGCTTCTGTCATTGGCTGGATTTATTTCGCCGCCTGGACGTTGTCGTTTTACCCACAAGTCATCATCAACTGGCGCCGGAAAAGGTAAGTTCTCAAGGTAAAGTGTCCGACTTTAGTTGGCTCAGGCGTCACTGGGCAGGGTGGTAGCTAGGGCGTCACTGGGCAGGGTGGTGGCTAGGGCGTCACTGGGCAGGGTGGTGGCTTAGGGCGTCACTGGGCAGGGTGGTGGCTTAGGGCGTCACTGGGCAGGGTGGTGGTTTAGGGCGTCACTGGGCAGGGTGGTGGCTTAGGGCGTCACTGGGCAGGGTGGTGGCTTAGGGCGTCACTGGGCAGGGTGGTGGCTTAGGGCGTCACTGGGTAGGGTGGTGGCTTAGGGCGTCACTGGGCAGGGTGGTGGCTTAGGGCGTCACTGGGCAGGGTGGTGGCTTAGGGCGTCACTGGGCAGGGTGGTGGCTTAGGGCGTCACTGGGTAGGGTGGTGGCTTAGGGCGTTACTGGGTAGGGTGGTGGCTTAGGGCGTCACCGGGTACGGTCGTGGTTTAGAGCGTCACTAGGCTAGGTGGTGGCTCATGCCGTTACTGGGCAGGGTGGTGGCTCATGCCGTTACTGGGCAGGGTGGTGGCTCATGGCGTCACTATCAGTGTTTCTTCCAGACTTTTTTCTCCGGGGGGAGGGCACTTGAACTTTTCGGGAGGGGCGCTAGAATTTCTTCGGGGTTTGGCCCCCCCCCCCCCGAAGAGATACCTGGAAAAAACTCTGGTCACTATGTAGGGTGGTGGCTCAGGGCGTCACTAGGCAAGGTTGTGGCTCAGGGCGTCACAGGGTAGGATGGTGACTCTTGGCGTCAATGTGAAGGGTGACGCGTAAAATAAAAAAGCTGTATACACACTGCCTTCGAATCGGGACTAGGGCAACATATCTAGTCACGTCTGCAACGAAAATGTCACCAAGTTTCTTCCAGACACATTTCTCTGGGGGTCGAAGGTATACCATATTTTTATATCAATTACGACAATACATTTTTTTTTCTATTTCATCCGGTGGGGGGGGGGGGGGGGGGACGACGCGCGCGCTCTGAAAGAAACTCTATGCTGCATGACACCAAAAAATAAGTCTTTTCACCAAGAAAATGTTAACTCATGTCACCAACAGAATGTTAAGTCATGTCACCAACAGAATGTTAAGTCGTGTCACCAACAGAATGTTAAGTCGTGTCACCAACAGAATGTTAAGTCGTGTCACCAACAGAATGTTAAGTCGTGTCACCAACAGAATGTTAAGTCGTGTCACCAACAGAATGTTAAGTCGTGTCACCAACAGAATGTTAAGTCGTGTCACCAACAGAATGTTAAGTCGTGTCACCAACAGAATGTTAAGTCGTGTCACCAACAGAATGTTAAGTCGTGTCACCAACAGAATGTTAAGTCGTGTCACCAACAGAATGTTAAGTCGTGTCACCAACAGAATGTTAAGTCGTGTCACCAACAGAATGTTAAGTCGTGTCACCAACAGAATGTTCAGTCGTGTCACCAACAGAATGTTAAGTCGTGTCACCAACAGAATGTTAAGTCGTGTCACCAACAGAATGTTAAGTCGTGTCACCAACAGAATGTTAAATCGTGTCACCAACAGAATGTTAAATCGTGTACTCCATAAAAAGGCTGCGGTGAAGTGACTTCATCACACAGTATATCATCTGTTTCAATCTCGCTGACGTCATACTGAAAAAACTTGACTAGATTAACCATTAAGACTGTTGTCACCCATACTTGTAGAGTAGCCTATTATTAGATTAGCTGATAGATTAGCCTTTAAAGACAGTGGGGGAGGTGTGAGGGGGTAGGGTCACACATAAAAGTGTTTAGAATAGCCAAATTTTAAATTATAAACCATAGTTTTTTTATTGTCTTTGTTGTATATAGTACAGGCCTCAGAGTTTCTTTCAGGCCTTTCTTCGTGTCCCCCACCCCCAACCGTGTCACCGTGCCAGGTGTCACTGAATGATGTCACCGTGCCAAGTGCCACTCGTTAACATATTTGTGCCACCGACTTTATTTCAGCGTGGTGGGTCTGAGTTTTGACTTTGTTCTCTTTAACGTCACCGGGTTCATCGCCTATTCTTGTTTCAACGTGGGCCTCTACTGGATACCCTCCATCAAGGTTGGTGCCTGTCTGATATAGTGGTGCCTCGGTCAGTAGCTCCCTAGGCGGGGCGGAGGTCAGTAGCTCCCTGGGCGGGGCGGGGGTCAGTAGCTCCCTGGGCGGGGGTCAGTAGCTCCCTGGGCGGGGCGGGGGTCAGTAGCTCCCTGGGCGGGGGTCAGTAGCTCCCTGGGCGGGGCGGGGGTCAGTAGCTCCCTGGGCGGGGTGGGGGTCAGTAGCTCCCTGGGCGGGGTGGGGGTCAGTAGCTCCCTGGGCGGGGTCAGTAGCCCCCTGGGCGGGGTGGGGGTCAGTAGCTCCCTGGGCGGGGGTCAGTAGCTCCATGGGCGGGGCGGGGGTCAGTAGCCCCCTGGGCAGGGTGGGGGTCAGTAGCTCCCTGGGCGGGGTGGGGGTCAGTAGCTCCCTGGGCGGGGTGGGGGTCAGTAGCTCCCTGGGCGGGGTCAGTAGCCCCCTGGGCGGGGTGGGGGTCAGTAGCTCCCTGGGTGGGGTGGGGGTCAGTAGCTCCCTGGGCGGGGTCAGTAGCTCCCTGGGCGGGGGTCAGTAGCTCCATGGGCGGGGCGGGGGTCAGTAGCTCCCTGGGCGGGGGTCAGTAGCTCCCTGGGCGGGGGTCAGTAGCTCCATGGGCGGGGCGGGGGTCAGTAGCCCCCTGGGCAGGGTGGGGGTCAGTAGCTCCCTGGGCGGGGTGGGGGTCAGTAGCTCCCTGGGCGGGGCGGGGGTCAGTAGCTCCCTGGGTGGGGGTCAGTAGCTCCCTGGGTGGGGGTCAGTAGCTCCCTGGGCGGG